TATTTTCAGTCTTCACACAAACCAAAATTTCCGTCAATGAATAGTAAAAAATGAGAGTAAACTTGCCAATAAGCATGGCGATTGTAGTCATCAAAAAATGTTCAGCGTCAGTGTATAGTACCTGGACGATTTTAAACAGAAGAGCAGATTAAAAAATGGTAAAAAAGTTAATTTTGTTGAGGTATCTCTAAATATTTCTTTGTGTTACAACAACGAAAAAGAAGTTTAGTGCTTGAGACGCTTATCAAATAGCTGAGTCGTTTGCAACAAAGCACCTTGACTTACACTCGTATTTATGAGTCACAAGGTTGCTAGATCAACATATGAATACGTAGAGAAGGTTTCTCTATGTAAAAGAAGTCAAGGCTGGTATTAAGCAATCTAATGTAGTGTACATTGACGATTGTCGCATCAATTGATTGACGGTTCATTCTCGCTTGTCCTTTGCATCAGATAATGGAATGTCGGAAAACACTTATAGCGCCTCCCTCATTATCTAACAGAAACGAACACAGAAATAGAAGACAAATACCGCTATGATATAACAACTCTCGTCATCTAGACTATTTTTTCTTTCAACAAGCATGTAAACAAAATTTTATGAGGTGACATGGTTCAAGGCTGTAGCTGTATTGCGCTACAGGAAGCGACGAGCGTAACTGTGCCTCAAGAAATTGCTCGAAAGCCCAAGCATGCTTTTCCATTACGAGAGCCGCCATATTGCAGCGTATGACGCAATCGAGCGTTTCTTCCTTCGTGGGTTTCAGGTTCGTACGGAAGCCGCGCAAGCTCGCGCAGTCACGAGGAGGTTTTTTTCCTCACTTTCGCTAAAGTTGCGCGAACTTCAACAACATAAAACACATCCACTGCGATTTCACAGCAATTCGAGACAAGGACCGCTGTGAAGTGTGAAAACAGCATGTGAATTTGATTTTCTATTCTGCACAGCCGAAAAATCCCATACCTGAATGAACATATAAAATTTTATGTATAATTATAACAGAACCTACGCTTCTTGTGGGAAGAAAATGAAACCTTCTTCAATAAGATATGACCTTGGTTAGAAGGAAGATTAATTCGTAATATATTAATGCGCAAGATGTGATAAAAAATATGATGTTCAAATTATGCGTAAATTTTCCAATATCTCAACATACGACAATAATTTGCATATATTCGCTCAATTATTTTTTGGGTCAAATGTACAAACTGCAATTGTTTCAATACGTCACCGAATAACAATGAACAAAATTAAAGTTGAAAATAGTTAAAATATCTATAACAGGGAGTTTGAAAAATATAACAAATATGTTGAAACTTTGCACGCATCACTCCGTCAGTAGCACTGAAGTGGAACTACAACCTAAGTTAGTGAACACCATAGCGGCCCCCTGATGACGTCACGGCTTTGTACTGAACCGATATATTCCGTTACTACGTTCATAATAATGAATGGGTCGCATTTTCCAAATAGTGTAGCTTTCTGCAGTGATCACTGATACGCCCTGATACGCCAAGATAACCCACACAATGCAAGAAGGGCATTAGCCTTTGGACAAGCGTCCATCATTCCTCTGAGTGATGCGATAATGCTGCGGTCAGACGTTGCAGTGATCCACGGAAAATACGCTCGTGATGATCTTCGTTGATTAATCGAACTGAATTTAAAATTTTTGACAATATTAAAAAAGCTTGAGTGACATGAGTAACATTACGTAGTTTTTATGACGAAATCTCAGAAAAAAGTTACGAAAACAAATAAAGAACCTACCTAAACAAACAAGATTCATTTATTATAATTACACGTGCTATCGTAACTTTGCCAAATTGATTAATAAAGAGCAATTGCTTCAGGAAAGGACAGTGTATTTCAAAAGTAACCTTAATCGTTTAGTTGATAAAGTCGTCCGATAATAATTGGCCAGCACACTGTACAGATTTTACCTTTATAACACTTTGAAAATTCTATACAGAGTTTTTCTCTCACTTTAAATTTGACAGCAATATGCCCAACCAGTAAAGGAACTGAGTTTTGAGCACGCGTCGGTGAGATGACCTTAAGTAGTTTTATCATAGAAATTTGAAACCAATGCTATAAAATTGCCGCAAAAATACGTCAAGATTTCACTTGGTCTTATGAGGTTTACCGGCGTGAGCCAACTGGCGAGCGAAAAACAAGCTCTTAACTTCGTCTCAGAGACGAGGAGAGAGTTTTAAAAGCCTGCTCAGCGGAGACTTAAAATACAAAGCTCTTTAACTTTCGATAAACTTTTGCACTGATGCAATGTAAAACAAGCTTCTGTGCATAAAAGTAGAAATTGGTAATTTTATGGCGGTAATATTTTGAATTACATTCGTGCGTGTCGTCTTTTAATTCCATCGTTTACAGTTACGAGTTCCAAATTAAAATGCAAATGGAATTTTGTTAATGATTAAATTATGAATATTAGATCTATTAAATCATTTGGCACTCACAGGATAGTGTTTTTATTTTTGCTGGTCCTCATTAATGAATTTCAACGTAGTTTGTTAATTTATATAGAAGTATTTTCTATTTTCTTGGAGCCGCCGTATGCGATGAGGGTGACGTCTAGCCCAAAATTTTAAAATATTTGACGAAAGTTTCTCTGATTTGCTTGTGACTTGCACAAATTTGCACGCAAGTCCGTCAGTCGGCGTCGTATTTTGTTCGAAAAATAGAAGAGAACATTAGATCCTTTGCGTTCTCTTGGGTGTAGGTAGCTTTAAACGTAATAGAAATATTGCCCAGCATTTTTCAATTGCCTTCATGTTGAAAAAAAAACGAATGAATCCGCCCAACTGGGTTCAGACTTGCCGTTCGAGAGCCTCATGCAACAGCTTGGCAGCAAAAAGTGAACCAGGCAGAGCCACGGGTGCAACTTTCAAGCCATGTTAAGTCAGATCGTGCTGGTTTTAGTGTACTTATATGCGAAAAAACTATAGGCACTTTCACTGGAGGAGTTACGGAAGAAAGGCAACATCCTTTCATAACCTTTTACTTCTTTCGAGGGCCTTGAGGATACACAGCAAAAAAGTAGATCGTTGATCTGAACATGGTCAGCAACAGCTTTTACTGCCTTGAGATGAACAATTATGCTATCTACTCGTTGAATTCAAACTCCCTGACCATTTAAAAAGTGGAAAAATGAGATGAAAAAGTAGCATTCTTGTAAAGAAAAGGCGACAAATTTATTTCTTCTATAAAACCAAGAAAATACTGCAAATTGAAATAGCATTCAGAACGATGCCGGCGATCATGTGCCCTTCGCTACGTTCCGCCGTCAGCCCAAAAAAATACCACAATAGACAAAGTTTTCGATTTGTGAGTATAAATTACGTTTTTTTGTATTTTTAAAGAACGTTATTTTAATATTGCATGTTTAAGGCTCAAAATTTCAATTTATTGTAAAAGACAAGCTTGAAGATGGCTTTCATATAGTTCTCAAAACGCCCGTATCCGAAGTTGATTAAAATTCATGGATCATTACAAGTCAGGCGTTGAAGTCTCCCATACAATTGAACTGCACCAGCTTGACTTTCTGAATCTGAAGGATCAAGAAATCGTGTTTATTTATTTCTATGCATTTATTTCAGGATTTATGGCACAGTTTCGGAAATGATAATATATAATTCATATTTCGTTAAGTGGAACGTAAATGATACGTACTCTTTTTATTTGCTACGCTAGAAGTAACTATTGCGTTAAGTACCATTATATTATGGTTGTAGAGCATAAAACGTTCATTAATTATCGCTATAATGCATATCTAGAATCAAAAGTTCCCACAAAAAGTAAGGAATATAAAAACATTCAGATTTATGTCACACCTTGTACAATACAAGCGCACGTGCATGCTTCATAATTCATTAAAATGCACCACGAATTATTACAATATATACATTGTCGGTCACATTTTTCCACTTACGATTTTTCCCAAATTCAAGACCACAGAAGGTGTCATATTTTCAATGACGATATTTTTTCACACCCAAGCTTACAATTTTATATTAGAAAGATATTTAATGAAAAGAGATATTGAACATTTTTAACTAGAAATGAGAAGATTCCACAAAAAACTTCCCGTTTTTCCCCTAATTATTAGAGATCAATCAATTTTTGTAACAACATTAATATAATTAGCAGGATGAGCCTTGCTGCTAACACCGTATATTCTAGCTATAATGATGTGCCGTATTTTGTGCCCTTCAAGTGAAGGAAAATCTCATGAACAATGAAGGCACATGAAGTAACTTTCATATCCTTGCTCCGTTCCCCTGTTAATATTTATGCCGAGCTCGATCTCAAAATATTCACATCTCAGTCATTTCGCAAGCTTGAAGAGGCCAGTCTGCTTTCACAGAACAAAAGACGGCAGGCAGCTGAGAAATTGAAAGTGAATCCTGCGTGCCGAGGAGCAGATATGGAAAGGGATGAAGGTGAGAAGGGGTGTTTGTCCCGCGGCTAACTTCTCGAGCGGATATCGACCTCCACTTGAAACGACCTTGGAAAGGCCATGGAACAAATCACAAGAGTTTTTGGGGATACAAGTTAGTCCCTTTGAAAGGCTATGAAACATGTCACAAGACTATTATTGTTACAAACTTGAGCCCCTTGGTAAGGTTTCTTAGTGATAAAAGTTAGGTGTTTGAAGGAGCAACTGTTAAATCTTTGTTAGCACCTGAAATGTGACTTCTCGGTGTTGAGTTTGTTCATCATAGAACAAAATCTAAAAATTTCAATCTCTAATTCCTACATTCAATCTTAAGGGGACCGAAATAAGGGAAAAATAAATTTATTTAATCATTGGATAACTTGAGGCCCATATATCAACGAAGTTATTTCATATAAACCTGGAAGCGGATTACACCAAGTAAATTTCAACTCTAACAGAGATACTGGCGTACCTCATTATCCTCTCCTAGGAATAGATGATGAACATAAATAAACTGCAACAACAATTATTATGAGCGAAACTCACCTCGCAGAGTGATGTCAGCTGCACGATGTGAGTGGTGGCTGTTGTCAAACGCCAAGTGTCAGCGAAAGTAGAAGTTGAGTATCAGCAGGTTTCCCGTGTCAGCTGTGGTGGCTCGCGGTAGGTGGACTGACTTGCATGAATGGCACCAAAATTGTTCGTGTTTATTTTATTCGTTAAGGACTAAAAACTAACTATAAGAGTCGGGATATGAGATATTAATCCAGCTAGTATAGGGAGAGAAAATCTAATGGCCTGCGACTGCTACTTCAGTAAAATTAAGGAAAGTAAAAGCTGAAAGGATGTTACACTTGAGAAAAATTGTGTAACAAATTTGGGAAATAATTGAAGTTTAAACCAAACCACGAGCAATGATTTATGTTTTCTTCAAAGTGTCAATAGGAGTCGATGGTATCATTCGAAATAAAAATCATTTTCCGTCTCTCAGCAGAATAATTGATAATTCCTTACGTGCTGATTAAGCGAAAATTTCTTATTCATGGATGACTAGGAGACGCAGAGCCAAGCCATAACAAATCTATAATTGTGTACTATAAAAAATCATGAATATCTGAACGACGAGAGCATGAACTCATTATTGAGAAACATGACTGCATTGAATGTTTTCTGATGGATACTTTACTGTTGTTCTTTCAATCAAATGTTTTTTAAAGAAGAGAATGGAAGGAGGAAGCGTCGCAGTCGATGTCAGAGGTCGATGTCGCAGGTCGAGATGTCGGTCCGTCGGGCGTCTACTCCCATGAGTGGAGGAAGGCTAGGTCACTTAGGCCAACTCTACAGCCTATCATGCGAGGTATCTGAGATCCCAGTAAAGAAAAAATTCATTGGTTAGTTTTAGAATGCTATATTTTTCTAATACAGTATATAACTTTCAACTAGGAAAAATGTTTGTACGTGAATTTTATTTCATTTTATTTTATCCAGGGCTAGTCAATACAATTCTTTTCATTTCTGTTGATAGTATATACAGGTAAACTTGGTTAGTAATACTGGTGAAAGCTAATGATAAATTTCAAATAGTTCCTTGTCTCAATTAAAGAGTTGCACACATTTAAATCCAATTTTCAGGGGCCTGCATATACGGAGAGTCCAGCACTATGAATTTTCCTTCTCATGTCAGTTTAAACCAAATAGGCATTTTTAGTATTCCCAGTGAACGCGAGAGCCGCCTTTCTCTCTCAGACTTGGAAGCGACAAGCGCCAACCTTCCCCCACCGCTTCTGCTCCTCAACTGGAATGGTGAACTCCAGCAGGCCGTCAGTCAACAGCCGACTTGCACACTTGCAACAACATGCCAAATTCTTAACAACGGTCGCGAAGTATTCAAGGGATATTGCCAGCCAATCTAAGATAAATATAGTTTGGTAGAGATATTACTATTATATTAAGATTAAATTTGAAAGTCAATTTTAATAATAAATAATATTCATACAGAGTGCCTGCGATAAGTCTTGAAACTTAACTGCCATATCCATTCGTGTTCTACTTCAGCAAAAGTTGCGCCTCAGGAGGCTTGAAGCGGATTAATAAAATGGTTGAACTCGTAAATAATTCATGATGTTAACACCATTTACTAATAATTCAAGACTATATAATTACCCATTCCATCACATTTCGATTTCCTAGTCAATGCAAGTTTTACTATGCATCTTATGTCAATAAAACATTGGAGATTCGAGCATTAACGCACGAGGGCCTCAGAGCGTCGTGGTGAAAGTGAGAGTGCAGCGGCAACAGCAGCGGCAGCAGCGGCAGCAGCAGCAGCAGCGGCAGCAGCAGCAGCAGTGGCAGCAGTAGCAGCAGCAGCAGCAGCAGCAGCAGCAGCTGCTCGTTGTGTGCACCTTTGATCAAGACTCACCTCTCTCTCCCGCTGCTACTGGTACACAGGAAATACGTGATTATTTTTCACAAATTTACTTTCTTCTAGGTCACAGCTTTGATCATTTGATTTAAATATTATGGAGCTTCTGTCTCATTGTACAAGAAGTTCCAGAATATGGCATACAGCCATAATCTAGCACTACAAACAGCGTGCCAGAAGAAAGTGTTTCACAACAATGCATGTGTACGAATGTATGATCCTGAATTCCAACTGATTTCGTGATTGAGTAACCGTATGTTATTGTAGTTAGTAAATAATTTATATACAAATAAAATCCTACCACTCTAAGCATGCTCAGTTTGAAAACGAAAGCAAGGCTTCTGAATTTATTCATTTTAAACTTTTCCTTCGATTTTAAATATATGAATATTTATAATAACAATAAACTAGAATACGTGAGATAAAAAATTAATTTTTAAACATTCCATAAGCAGGGAAAAATGAACATACACTAGCACTGGCCTTAGGCATACAAAGCTGGCACATTATTCGAATCCCGGACATGTTTTCATGATCGTGTTGCAGTCGTAAGATAAAGAAACGTATTGCTGGCTTAACAACAGATTCATTTCTACAAGAGGAAATGACTTTGCACAAATAGTTGACCAATACGAAGGAAGCTCAAATAATACCTTCGGCGTCACTAGGATGTGTGTCGTGTAGAGATGAGTAAGTGGTGGCAGTCCATCACTCGGCGTCACTAGGATGTGTGTCGTGTAGAGATGAGTAAGTGGTGGTAGTCCATCCCTCGGCGTCTTCCCACTTTCACTAGCCGAGGTGGCGCTGGACTCGACCTCAGCCTTCCGGGAACTATAGTAGGTCATTGTTTCCACCTCATGAACCATCAACTCATGGTATTTCTACCATTGAGTTGATGTCATTGAGAAATACCAAATGGTATTTCTACTATTCTACCATACATATAAATTCCTATCACAAGGCATGAAAAATTCGCTAGTTTTTTTGTGTTTATTTCCCGAATTTTAGAACGGGTACTTTCGACTGGATAATTATTGTGCTTTCATTTTGCCGATCGAGGATCGGACACAATTGAAGTAGCTTTAACTGATTGAATAAGATCTCTATGTTGAGGATTTTTCGAGCGATATTTGATCATTTTGTGTCATGTGGCAAATGATTTTTATGAAGTTTATTTGCACGTGTCTAAAGATTGCTGTGTAACTCTGGTTAAGAGCCTCGGAATTCAACTATAGCTTTACTCTACAGCTTTTGGCTATTAACATTACAAGTGGATTTTTGGATGGTTGCTGTGGGACTCAAATGCAACGATTGCTCTATAGTACGAACGCCTCTCTCCTCTGGACTGTTCTATTTCCAGTTGCCCAAAGCAGCGACAGGTTGTCATTTCCTGCATGCGCTAGAACGTCCTTTCTCCGGGGCGCTGACCCGACTTTTACTCTCCACTCTGACCTTCCGAGGACGCAGTTTTTTCACGGATGCAATAAAATTTTCACACAAGTGATAATTGTGATCTAAAAATGAAATATTTAATATTTTATAAAAGACTATTTAATAATCAACTAAGTCGCAATATCAATATTATTTTTTTGGCAATCAATGAAATTGTGAAACCATTTGATTCTCATTTTCTGGAAATAAAAAAAATGTTGAAGTGATACTAAACTATTTGCCTCGGTGTAAAATTTCGAATCACTATTGAACATTCAATTTCTTTATCTATCCTATACCTATTTAAGAAATTTGGTGTATTTCATAGTGTATGTTTGTAACTTTGTAGACACCCAGCGTTTTGACTATCACAATTTTGTATCTCCTCTTAATAACTAACACTTCAGTTTTGGTCCAGTGTAGCTCGCATCTGGATTCTTCGGGATTATTTTATTCTGCTTTACTTTAACTTTAGCTTTTTTCTTCCTACACGTTATCTTCACGCTGGTCCCGCTATTCGTATCCCATGACTACACTCTTTCCACTTGCGTGGAATGCGTCTAACTAAATCTTCAGCCTCGATTGATTACGTACATTATTCAGCATTTCACTCTGCACTATGTCGCTGATCGTCGACATCATTTAGCTGTCTTTATGAAATTCGCTTTCTTCTCGAATGCTTCGACTTGCTACCGAAGTTCAGGATACTACTTTAAATATAGCATAGATTCTACTATATGTTAGCGAATGCTATAGGTAAAGTTAGTGTTACCCTTCATTGCGGTTGCCTAATGCCGAAATAATTCATGTGTACAAGAAAACCAACAAAAATGTGATAAATAAAATAGGCAAATTACCCATGCTGTGATACCTTACCTTTTGAATTCTCGCGTTAAGTTGAATTACCTACAAAATTAAATTTAATACTAAAATGACCATATTTCGTTTGAATTGTATAATGCATCTAAATAGTTTAATTCCTCAGGCGACGAGAGATATTGGTTTGTTGAAGCGACCGAGGTGCTGTTCATTTTAAATTTAAACATCAAAGTCGTTACTATTATTTTAAAAAATCTCTTGCTTGATTTAACTGGTAATAATTTGAAAGTAAATATTCCCGTTTCTACAGATACCCAACAATTGCTTTTTATGACAGTTTCCACAAGAAGTCCCCCATCAAAAGAATGGTTCAAAGAAAATGGCGTAGTGAAAAGAAACTGCGTTATTCTGTCGCTTTTGTTTCATTCAGAACGGCAGTGCTTACGAAGCCTCGATGCAGATGAGTGGCTTTTACACTCTTTGAAGCGGTGAACTAATTAAAGAGGTTTTAAAATGTTACTTTAGCGCCCTCAGTATTAAGAACTTTGTTTCCAGGACGTTGAGTAAGTTCACTGGAAACAACCGAAAGGTAACTAAAGGATAATAATTCTCAGTTTTAACTATAATTCGCGGATCAATGACAGGTATTTTAGTTAAACTTGCATGGCTCACAAATGCTGCTTTTTATTATGAGATCCTGTTATATGAGACAAGTTATAATGTTTCGATTCCTTATATATATTGGCCGTTATATAAGCGGCTCGAGAAGTACTATTTTCCTCACCTGCCAAAAACGTCTCCAATGCCGGTCAGCAGCCTGCAGCCATTGTAGTAACTGAACGTGTATCATGCCCGTGTGAGATCGAGTTTCTGTGTATGAATTACCGTCAATTAAACCACGTAATTTTCATGCAGAGTAATTGTTAAACATTTTTAAGGTATCGAACATTCGGAGGTGCGATCAATAATTCTTCTATAATTGGAAGTATAATTTATAATACTTCTTCTTCTATATAATTCTTCTGCCCTGTAACGAATGTCAGCGCTTACAACCGAATACGGCATATTTTAATCTTTGTGGTTACTTTTAACAGTCGTGAATGCAAGTAAAACGATTTAGTGGTTGAAATTATCGAGTCGATAGCTTCGGTCAACAAGGCCAGGGTTTCATCCTACGGTCTAACGAAGCAGCTGAAATTGGGGAGCATGCCAAACAAAAACCGCGCTTTCATTGGGTGAACAAAGTTTTATATGTTAAAGTTGTATTTTCATTCTATTACAGGATTTGAGCATTTATGATTTTACTGCGCAATATATATTTGTATGTTTAAAGATTCTGCAAACAACATAAAACCGCCATTTTAGTTTAAAAAGAAAACTTTAAACTTCCACTGTGACAAAAAATACGGATTTTTTTAGCGAACTCTTTTAGACTAATTTTTTGGAAATTGCAATCGAAACACGTAGACGATAAGAAAATTGCGAAGGTGGAAAAAGAAGCACATGAACTGTACTGGAAGAGAACATAACGTTTTTCTCTTCTGAATAAATACCTCAAGACTTTAAAGCATTGGAAAACGAGAGATTGGAAACTTGAACCTCAACTTTGGATAGAGGCAGACTAGTACGGGATAGAGAACGACAAGTGCAGGTTAGTGAAAGACAAGCCAGGAATGGAGAATGACAAGCCAGGTATGGAGAATGACAAGCCAGGTATGGAGAATGACAAGCCAGGTATGGAGAATGACAAGCCAGGGCTGGTGGAAGACAAGGCAGGAACGATAGAAGACAAGCCAGGGACGGTGGAAGGCAGGTCCGAGACAGTGGAAGACAACCCCAAAACCATGGAAGACGAGCCCAAGGCGGTGGAAGACGAGCCCAAGGCGGTGGAAGACGAGCCAAAGGCGGTGGAAGATGAGCCAAAGGCGGTGGAAGGAGAGCCAAAGGCGGTGGAAGGAGAGCCAAAGGCGGTGGAAGATGAGCCCAAGGCGGTGGAAGATGAGCCCAAGGCGGTGGAAGATGAGCTCAAGGCGGTGGAAGATGAGCCCAAGGCGATGGAAGATGAACTTGGCATCAGACACTAATCTCTTGGCATCAGACACTAATCTCTTGGCATCAGACACTAATCTCTTGGCATCAGACACTAATCTCTTGGCATCAGCCAGTAAATCCTTGTCATCAGCTGATGAAACCTTTTTCTCAGCCACCGAACCTCTTTCTTCAGCTGATGAAAGCTTTTCTTCAGTCAACGAACCCTCTGTTCCTGCCATTGAGCCAACGGGTTTATCCATTCAACCCATGCCTATCGATGGGCAACCATCAGGCTCAGGAAAGGGTGACTTCACGACTTCACTTGCTGAATGCAACGACCACAAAAATCCTTCAACCGCCACAAGCGGTAATTGCCGCAATCAGCTCTGGATTACAAATGATCGCTATCGTGCAATTCCGTCTAGCTTGCACCGTGTCAGAAAATCATCACTCACAGACGATGACAACGATAGTAGATCATCACTTTATGAGGATGACGGTGTTAGTTATTCTTCATCTCTGGAAGACGACTGCGTCAACGACGACCATGAATCTTTGCGCACCAAGGAGGACGACAAAAAAACTCCACGAAGGCAGGAAGCCGATAGTTTCAGTCGCGAATCAACGATAAACGACGACGCTGTAGCTACACAAGAAATCATTGGTGCCTTTTGTGAGGCTCTTATTAAGTTCCAAGAAATGTCTCTTCTTGATGGTCAAGAATCTGCTCTAAATTTGGCAGTCAATTCAACCACGTTTAATTCGGTCGCCAATAATTCAACTGCGTCAAATTCGTTGGCGGACAATGCAACTGCGTTAAATTTGGTGGCGGATAATTCAACTGCGTTAAATTTGGTGGCGAATAATTCAACTGCGTTAAATTTGGTGGCGGATAATTCAACTGCGTTAAATTTGGTGGCGGATAATTCAACTGCGTTAAATTTGGTGGCGGATAATTCAACTGCGTTAAATTTGGTGACGGATAATTCAACTGCGTTAAATTTGGTGGCGGATAATTCAACTACGTCAAATTTGGTTACGAATAGTTCAACTGCGTCAAATTCGGCGGCGAATAATTCTATCTCAAATCTCGATGGCATTGCATCTGCAAAGCTTCAAAGGCAGACTCTGAACTTTCCGTCGACTATCAAAGAGTTATCGAATATTGTACAACCTTCGTTTATTTTTGAATTAAGGGCAGCCTCTTCTGCAGGCAAAAGACATGCGACAAGAAATCATGAGTTCATTTTATCCAAAATTATAGAGGCACTATTCGAAAGGAAAAATGAGAGGTCGTCCCCGGGATGTACAACGGAAATACTTGAAAATGAAAACACGAAAGAATCTGCACATGTGGCTGAGGATTTGGCGGTCTCCCGAGAAAATATTCTCTTAGCTGCTTTCAATTTGGAAAGAACTTTGTTTGGTCAATCACAAAGTAATATTAGTTGGCAGCAGAATGAAGCTGCAATTAAACGTGAATCAATTTTAAAATCGAGCAGTGAAGTTGAGCAAGATTCATGCCCAAAAGACGAATTCTTGAAGGGACAAGCTGTGGCAGAACACGTAGAGACTAATAAGGCATTTGAAGAAAAATTGTTGTCCGCCCAATCACTGGATAAAAAAGTTTCGCTAAACCAACCTGTGAGCGAAAAAGTTGTGTCAGACCTACATGTGCCCGAAGAAGTTGTGCCAGACCAACCTGTGGACGACGAAGTTGTCCCTGACCAAACTGTGAACGAAAAAGTTGTGTCAGACCAAGTTGCGGACGAAAGAGTTGTGCCAGACCAACTTGTGGATGAAAAATTTGTGCCAGACCAACCTGTGGGCGAAGAAGTTGTGCCAGACCAACTTGTGTACGGAGAAGTTGTGCCAGACCAACCTGTGTACGGAGAAGTTGTGCCAAACCAACCTGTGTACGGAGAAGTTGTGCCAAACCAACCTGTGTACGGAGAAGTTGTGCCAAACCAACCTGTACTGTGGACGAGGAAGTTGTGTCAGACCAACCTGTGAACGAAGGAGATGTGCCAGACCAACCTGTGGACGAAGAAGTTGTGCCAGACCAACCTGTGAACGAAGGAGATGTGCCAGACCAATCTCTGATTCACGTTGTGGCAGACCAATTTGTTGGCGGCAAAGAAGCTGAGAAAAGCAGTGCTGCTGGTAGAAGTGTCCAATCAAGATATATCGATTTCGCAGGTGACTCGACGAGATTTTCCGAAGTGAAACAGACATGTACTGACGTCTCGTGTGTGGAAACTTCAACAGCAACAATTTATGCTAGAGCAACTCCGAATCCCAACTCCGCATATTTGGATGCGTTCAGGGATACAAATAACTCTTCAAATATTTTGGAGCTACTATCTGATCAGACTCGGCTGGATCAACTCCGGTGGGTGCTGGAACGAGGGCTGTCGGATGATCTGCCTTGTTTGGGTAGTTCAAGTTTATTGAAACAAATCGCTTCAGAAACGTAAGTGAATAACCTGATCATATTGTTTTAGACAATAAAATTATCCCATCCGCAAATAACTAGAGAAATGTTTTCCTTCTTCAAATAAAAAGAGAAAAGCCTTTTCTAGGATATTGTGGCTCTGTCAGAGAATGTTTTGCTGTAATATATTGAGAATTTCCAATCCTGAAGTTTAGTTGCGTTGTGTTGGAACCCAGATAATAGAAAAAGATGCTCATCTCTAACCTTTAAAGTTAACGTTTTTGCTTTTTTCAGAAACAGAGGAGTGCAAAGTATAACTGGTAATCAAAGCCAACTACTAAATTAACTAGACCAGTTGGTTCGAGATTTCCTTTGTAATCGGGAAACTGGCGAACTTGACTATAAAGTGTTGCATGGATTTGAAAATAATTGGTTGCTCAACGAGAAATTTGTGAGGCTTCTCTTCAAGGGGAGAATAAAATCCATTAAGTCGTGGTTCACGAGTCACCTCACTGACCTCAGCAACCTGACTGATCCTCTTGTGGTATATAAAGGAGTTCTCTCCTCAAAAACCTTCAATGTGCCTAAAGAAAAGTTCGTCCGAACTGTGTTTCTTCGCAAGGCTCTGCTTCTGGTGTTGTCCTGCATGATCCAACTCTATCTCTCCCAAAAGTACGGTTTCATGTTTTTTAATTAAACTAAGATTGATATCATTGAAATAAATTGTGCTAGGAAATATGACAGGATTGCCGATAACTATTTACTTCTAGATTTAAAATTTTATAATCGAAAATATTAATTTGTGAACTCAAGCTATACGTTTAAATCTACTTGTCTTGATCAGGTTCTCCCTCATCCGAGGATTTGCAAAGCTTGCAGAAGTTTGCATCGACGGAATGGCCAACCTGCAGCTACCTCGCTCGTCGTACAAGACACTCGACAAATTAGCGAATTATTTTGTCGCCGACTGCTGCGCCATCGAATACTTGAGCCTCCACAGCCGGTGTGAATTCTGCGACCAGTTCCTCCTAGCACTGCAACTACGCTACTTGCCTGCCATCAACTTGATAGCTGGGATCGATGCACCTCCAATTTGCAGTAACTTATTTATAACGAAGCTTTTTCCTTTTACATACTTTTCAAACGGCTACTGAGAGTATTGAAATAATTACAATAATACAAGCCAGACAAAACCTGCTACGTTATATTTTCATGGTTGAAAAATAATTAATCGAATCTTGTCCATTCCGTTTGTTCTAGTCGAGAAGTGAAGCTGAAAATTTGAACGGTGGAAATGTTTCCAATGCACCTGTTAATAGCATGGCACATTGTATTTTCCGTTGGAAGTTGTTAAGCTACAAATTACTCCATAAAAGCACAATATCCAGGTTCTCAACTAATCTAAAGACAGTGGATTGTTTTTTCTGATCCTGAGGACTGGTCGTTTGGTTCCATGTCAAAATCAATATTGGCATTTACAACTATGAAAATAAATCTCGATTACTTTTTATTAAATCGGGAAAGAAATTTTTAATGTTAATCTTAAAATGTGGCTTTAGAATGTCGCATGCCAGTCTGCGCATATTTTTCTTGCCGATGGATTTCATCAGGATTCGGGAACGGAGACGATGATCTGGTGCATGAAGAAGTCTACTGCTGGAGCTTTGACGACAATAAACCTGGAGCCGGCGATAGCGACTACTTCAACCGCCTCGTCTCGTGTGTCTTACTCCAGGCCATCTCAGCCGGCATAGTGCAGAGCAGTGAGCAACCATTCTATTTGAAGGGATAAAAAACTAGTGCTTCGATGGTAACGTCCACACATAATTTTGAGCTGACAAGAGTAGAGTAATACTTTTGCCGTGCACTATACTGCAGGTTTGTGTCATTTATTTGGGCATATATGGGCATATGCATATGGACCAAATAATATACATCCAGACTAACTAGTGTCTATTTGGATGATATAAGAATGCATTTATAAATTATTTCACAATTGAGAGCTTCATAGCGAAGGTTAAATGTTAATGACCTCTTGGTGAATCACTGAAATAAATTGATTGAAACGTTGCTGAGATATATAATATTTTCCTATTAGGCAAACTTTTTGCATAAATAAATAGCTCGTATTATATACAATGCACATGTCAAAAATATGAACATTGTATTGATAAGTTTGTTGGTGTTGAACTTTCGTGCAGAGGCTCTAATGGCAGCAGAATCTCAGCATGAGGTTGATGATGCTTTAGAGGTCATCGCAGGCACAATATTAACTCTTGATGAATGCGAACAGCAATCGAAGCTGGGAAGTGAAACTGATCACATGCGCTCAGTGATTTTCTTCACCAAGTATCGACTGATGAGTTTAAGAGCTCGCTATATGGTGGCTTCGAGTGCTGCATCTACTAGCAAAGTGAGTAATTCCCATCTAACATAGAACTAACGTCGATTAAACGTTATTTCAACGATTTCAACGTTGTTTCAACTTCTTTTGCTATGAGTTTCATTACCTTGAACATCACGAACCTTGCATAATATGCACTAACTTGCACATAATTTCGAATCTATTGCTTAAAGCAGAACAAAAACACATTATATTAGGGAACCGAGCCTCTCACCCCTTGCGCTTCAAAAACTTCCACGTCCACTGACGCTCCCCGCATAGCAGTTGTTCCTTTATTAATCGGAAATAATAACCAAAATGCGTATTTCCTTACGCTCATTGTTGTCAGATATTGAAGTCTAAGTGGCTACGAACGCGCGTCTTGTTACTGATTCTAAATATATGTATATATATACACGTTTATTTATATTTAAAGATTTTCATCCGCCGTGGTTGGACTCCAGCGAATTGAGACGTATAATTATCAAAGTTGTATTACTACCAATATTAATATTATGAATGATTATCATAGGGTCCAAGATCTTAACGACAAAACGACATTTGCTACCATATCCAACTTTTCACTGTTCATCATGATGCAATAATGAAACAACATGAATCTCGTTTTAAATATAGCGTTAATTATATGAAATTAATACAATTCCCTTTCATTCCCAATTAAAATTTTTTTTTGACTAGATATCCGGGACCGTCCCTCTCTACGGTATTCGTTAGCCTGTATACTAGCCGAGATTTTGAAAAGGGCTGCAAATTTGGGGAATTAAACTGAAGTTTGATTCCATCAGAATAGTCTGATTCTGATGTCCATCAGAATAGTCTCAAATTAGAATAGTCTGATTTCATAACTAAATGTTCTGCACCACATAGGCATTCACTTTTTATCAGCAATCACTTTAATCCTCACTATTTATTGTATCTGATAGCACCATCCACTGGATACATGATAAATAACTTACGAATTGTTTGGCAATTTATTCCTTGTCATGCTGGTTCCCTTGAAATTATCAGTTAGACACGATATCGAAAGCCCAATTATATATATTACATCTCGACCGAAATTTAAAATGATAAGATTTGTACATTTTCTTTCTAACAGTAAATTTTTCGAAATTTATTTTTTCTTTTTCACAGTGCCCCATAACGGACCTACATAAATCAAGCGGCATCCTGCTGAGTCTGGCCACGAGTCTCGAGAAGCGGGTCCCCGGAGTGGCCTGTCCCCATAGGAAGAAATACCAGAATCTTCTTCGCCTCGCAGCTACGCTGAACAAGGCCCGTAACAAAATCTTACAGCACGCAACCGAGGTTTGTGGTCTTGTTGGAGTCTGGATGAAATAATACTGTCGATTCGGCATGGTAGATTCTAAATGTAGACAAGAAACAGCCACAATTATGAAAGTCGAAACAATGCTGTTGATGATAGCAGACGATTAGCTCCTTTTTAAACTGTTTTCGTGAAATGAAAAAAAATCCGCGAAAATAAAACGTATTTTTTAAACGTGAAACTTAACAGAAAACCACACTAAAACAACACAGGGAATTAAATGATTACTGTAGTTAATATTGACAAATTTTTCCAAAAATAATGAAACCAGTTTATAATTTTTATTGTACATGCATGTGAGCGTAAATCGAAGTAGATGCATGTAGGTACATAAATTATCTGATCTATGACTTTCGCACTACTATCAATTATTTGATAAATTTTTACTACAGCAAATTTATAAGTTGGATTATTAGTGCGATCTTTTGCGATCTTTTCTCATTCTTCCCATTACTAATATCTTTATAGTTACTAAAGAGCCTTTGGTACAGCTTAGCCACATGCTTGCTTTGGTCTTGTCACCAGGAAGTTTGTGATCCGTCGGTTGACTATTGTACGGAACTTCTACCGGATCAGCCACCGGAGCAACCCACGGACAGTGCGGAGACGCACAAACTCCTCGGTGCCCTGGCCGGCTTAACTCATGTTTACCTCGTGCTATATAAGTCGGGGTAAGTGTTCTGATTTAATCTGGAGTGATGGTTTAAGTTAATGAAGTGTACCAATTATGTTTGAAAGGTGTTGTTGTGTTTGAAGCATAAATGTTAAAATAAATGGGGCGGATGTTTGAACGGTGCATAACGTGTCGGGGCATACATTGGTATTAAGTTTTAATGGTAGTATTATAATATTATTAACATGTTTATTTTGTTTTGCATGTATCAACACAAAATTAGAATTAAAATTAATTGTGGGTTTGAACATCGGTCTTTTTTAAAAAAAAAAAAAACAATATTTTTTTAATATTAATGGTAGTCGGTGTGAAAGGGTTTGGAATTACGACATCCAAGTTGACGAGTTGAATTCTGTAGTAGGGCCATGAAAACGAACAACAGGTTTTGCATGGAGATAACATGAATTGTTGTAGCTTAAGATTTGTAATAACTGGATGTTCTAATATCTCCTGTATCCCCTGTAACGCTGACTACAGCAACTAGCCCATCGTATATTTATGAAAGTTTTTTCGGCTGTTTAAAGCCTTGAAAAATTTTAATAACAATAATAATAAGCCCGTCTACGCGATACTTGAGGTGCCGTGATATTGCCTGGACCTGAAAATTTGTTCTTGGAGTCTGGCTGAATCCGGGGTATGGCAAAATAGCGAAAGAGTTTATCCTTAAGTTGAATTGTTAATTTTATATTGAACCTCCAAATTGTATTCAATAATACATCATTTCAGTTAGCTTCGAATTTAAAATTGGGTAATAGATGAGAGTCCATGCTATGTTTTTGTTTGAACGGGACATACTTTTAATGACGTATATTGTAAGGTTTATTCGTTCACGATGGGTTTGAAAACGCGAGTTTCCTGGAACTTCTTATTAACCCATTCATGCTATGAATTATTTTCTGAATTTCTTTTTTATTTCCTGTGAGAATATTATCACTTCTGACGGTAGTAAGCAAAAAATATGTTAAAATAATCATTTTTCGTCATATGTGAAAAATTATAGCTCGGTTCCATTTGGAACCGGGCTAAATATTTCATGATCTAAATGACTTTAGAAACATTACATCACTTAAAACCATATACAGCATTAAAAGTGCTCACTTTATCGATCAAATTCTGCATCCATCTCATAAATAATATATTTTTTCAACGAATTACTCACTTTTCTTCCCTATGATATCAAGCCATCCTGTCTGACACCGGGTCCTTATAATCTTTGAATGTTACCTAAACCGGGAACAGTCGGCGCAGCAGATCCAAACTTTGCCAGAACACAAACAAGATGTGTATCAAACCTATGCATCCACTTGTATATTTATTTGATCATACAATTTTATTATGAATCTATTTTTCCCGCTGATTCCAAATCGAACCGTTCGGCATTAATGGGTTAAAATCGGTTTCTATAAAACAAACGTACAGTAGTAAAAATTATTGCTTATAAATTTATATAGAACATAGAGCAAGTAAGATAAGTGATATACTTTAATATACTTTATTTCGAACAAAAACACTTCAAGAACTTGGAACAAGTGTAAATATTCGGGATAACTATATTTTTAAAGCGCAATTGATCATCTATTTCGAACTACCCCGGGCTAACCTGCTAGTAATTTATATTGAGCCCAGCCTATTAACTTGGGATTCAAAAATGTTTGAAACGTCAACTGTTGTAATGTAATTTTACCATTTTCAGAATAACGTCTGCTGCAGAGTTGGACAAGAAGGCTAAACAGCGCCTGCGTGATGCTCTCGAGAAAGTTTTTGCCGGAGTTGGAAGTGCAGATGCCAGGAGCCAATGTCTGGGCCTGTTCTACGAAACCTGGCATGGCTACAATGCTCGCCTCATAAGCCGAGGTCTGCTCTAAGAATATTTCAGTGAAAAAATAATATTCAAAATATTTTTTATCAGGATTATAGGCTGGATATAGGCCAATTTACAGTAAATCGGCATGAGTATAGGCTAAATGTAAAGGAACCATTCTAGCATCTTGTGTTATAAAATGCGCAGCCGAACTTTGCGGTCGAGAGCTTAAAATTCTCACAATCATTCATTTAGGGCACTTCCATTTGCCTAGAGGACATTCATGCGCTTACTTACATAATCTCTTACCACTTGACGTTGGCCCCGTAAACGTGTTGCGCCCGGCGACAAGCGCCGATTTTTCATGCCAACTACAACCTTGCAATGCAATACATTTCTGGTGTCTTCTGTAATGTTTAATGCTGCTTCGTGAATCAATAATGATGTATGGATAATAACAGATGTACTATGAACAGCTTTATCGTGTACTAAAGGTACAGCTGTAATGAACATCTGTATCCTAACGTACACCAACCTAACAGATGCAGCAGACGTGACAGTTGCGCAACGAGTGGAGAGCTTCCGTCTCTGCATGGGCGTTCTGTTGGTTCTTGCTGTCCATCAGCTAGCGGGACATACGGAAGAGAGTTCTGACGTCGACTGTGAGAAGAAAAAGAAGAGGGAAGAGAGTTCTGACGTGGACTGTGAGAAGAAAAAGAAGAGTGAAAAGAGTCCTGACGTGGACTGTGAGAAGAAAAAGAAGAGGGAACAGAGTTCTGACGTGGACTGTGAGAAGAAAAAGAAGAGGGAAGAGAGTTCTGACGTCGAACGTAAGAAGAATAATAATAAGGATATCGCCGTTCATAAGAATACAAAGAGCAATCCAACGACAAGTTTTAAAAATAAATTAATAAGAGGCGAAAAAATCGACTGTTCAGAAACCAGAAAACATTCTCAGAATGTTCTCCCTCATGAAAGTTTTGAGAAAAGTTCAGATAAGAAAGCCTTGGAAGAGCAGTCTAAGAATACACCTCTTTCGTGGTTTTTCCAAGTTATGACCGAAAAATTGCTCGGACTGTTTCCGTTCGACATCCCTTTAAGCTCTTTTATTGCTCATTCCATGCTGCCAGCTCTTGGGAATCTGGAGTGTGACTTGGAGTCTGAAGAGCCAACAAAGTTAGTTACCTCATTCACATGAACTTGAATGCGCGTAAAAATTACTTTGATTATGAGCTAAAATTTATTACTGGATATTACTAAGCCCACTCTATCGTTGAAAATCAAGTAGAATATTGAAATGCAATAGAACTGTTTTTCTTTGTGCTTCAGTCACTAATCTCTATTTTTTATATGGTTTCCCACAGCTTCGATTCACATCTGGATGACTGCCTAACCGTCGAAGGTCTGAGCGTGGCACGGCTTGTGCTTAATTCGTTTTTGAATGAGAATCTGCCTGATAAGGAATTTCGTTTAGAAACTTTCATCGCTTGGACAGAAATGGCTGCGTGGCAGAATGTGATGCTCCATTCCGTAGATGGTATGTTTGTCTATTGTTTACAGTCTAAAAAGCACTTCGTTTTTAATATGTTTGTTACTAGTCTTACGAAAAGCGAACTTCCATTCATCTATGAGTAAATAACTATGAAATATGAATGCGACTTGCTTTAGGAGGGCAAATGTTAGGATCTTCTCTGAAAAACTTTTAATCGTGTCATCAATTACAAACGTCTGAGTATAGATATGTGCTGATTTCTCGAAAGTGCACATGTGGCCATAAAACGCCTGAAATAGTTATATCTGTTATCAAACCTACTACAAGGAATCCTCTGTTAATTCTTATTATAAATTCATTACAACTTCCAGGATTAGAGTCAATCGCTATCTCGGCTACTACTGGTTTCTCGAACGTGGACATTAAGTCGCTCAGAACTGAAGAAGATCTCGAAATACTGGCAAGACTGTACGCTGGTCCCTTGATCGACTTTGACCATCCAATGGAGGCCACACTGAAGGATTACCTCGAGACCCTCACTGACGTACACGAAAATTTGTTGCATCTTTTGACCCGAGAGGACGGAGGCGGACGGTCTGCTGATCGCGTCAAGAACAAGTCAGGCGAAGATGTTTGTCTTTTGTTGTACATGAACTTTATGGTAGTTTGTTATTTTTATATATACCATATGGCTTGCCATAGGTTGACATGCTGAATTAAATGTAGTCCTTGACATTTTCTGCTAATTAATTACCTTCAGAGAACTGATCATTGGTAATTTTATGGAAATTGGTTTCCATGGTCAATATCTTAGCTTGTAATTGCTCAATTAACTATTTTTTCATTATTTCAATATCTCTTTTGTGAATGTCTGATATAACAGTGTACATAGTGGATGTTTGATGTTATGACTGTAGTGAAAGACATACGACACATTCTGCATTTAAAGACGAAATTAATGATGTATAAAGTATCTGATCAAGTTGAAGAGTTCATCACACAAACATTTGCTACCTATATTTTTAACCTCCGAGGCCATCCTCCGCTGCTTACTTTCCGGTAGCCAGCAATTAACCATACGAAGCCTAAAATCAGACAATAAAAACTGCCTCAAAAGTAGCCGAAATTGTGCATTTTCACGATGAATAATTTTCTTCTCTCTCCTCAGGCCTCGCCAAACTAAAGGCAAAATTCAGCCTAGGAAAGAGAGCCTACTGGACGTGCCCACGCTACAGACGCTGTGTCTCTTGCTCAGAGACGAGCAGCAGAAGGAAGAACCTCCCAGCGTAGCTAGCGTGCGGGCGCTCCTGCATCAGGCACACACGCTTATTGACAAGGAGCCGTTTACTTTCAAAATACTTGACTAGAGCCAAACAACTAATTATTAATTTATTTTGATATTGAACGAGTGACCCACGCACTAAAAGTTTTTATACCCAATCAGTGTAAGTAGACGTGTTGCCAGTCAATCGGCTAAATCAACGGTACATGTTCTCATTAGTTTCATTCAATCATTCAATCCTTTTTATTTTTCATTTAGCAATTTTTTCTACTATTTTAGTTCTATTAATTCCATACATTTTTTTCGACGTATTTGTATTCAAATATAATTTGACCTTCCTGTTTCAAGCGTGCCAATTGCATTTATGTCATTCACCTTTTTCATTCCATGCGCTGCATGGCTCCCTTCTACATCTCATTTATTTTTAGGCTGACGTCCCCAACGGTGCATGAGATTGACCATTTTTTCACTACCCGGTGATGAACTATTAGCTAGCAAATAATGAACTCTTCACTAGCGAGTGATGGAACTGTTCAATAGCGAGTGAAAGGACTGTTCACTAGCATATATGGGTAACTATTCATTAGCGAGAGAAGACTAACTATTCAATAGATAGTGAACTTGAACTCAAATGAATTAAAGTCCCTTTATTCGTGTCTATTAATGCTATATTAGTACCCTTCGATAAAAGTATGATTAAATTCAAAGACCCTGATATTAATTAGCATATTTGTAGCTCATCTATTAATTAGGCCCATGGCCGTGTCTCTGAATTTTTACCTAATCGAGCAAAATCAGATAATCATTTTGACTCAGAACCTCGAAATTATTATACATCACCTGAGGAATTTCGCGACGATTTTTTCGCTGTTACCCAACATTCTTTTATTTTTTAGGCTTCTTAACTGATGATGAGGCTGGATGCCGAAATTTTAAAGTAAAATATTGTGAATGTATGTGTGTATTATTGTGAATACTTGTACCTTCTTTGCATCAAAAATGTTGAATATTTGTTATTTAGGGCAACTTATGATACAGTGCGTAAGCCTTCAATGATATTCAAATGAATCTGCATTGCTCCTTATCATTTCAATGCAAATAATATTGCGAATGGACATCGCATTTTTCCATCATACATCATACGCTCAATAATGATATTATGATCGAGAGATAATTATGAATTAACTTCCTGGTTTTATGGACGATAAAGACATATTCAGAAAATGCAATAAAAAAATCTTTTGTGCTGCTGGCAACTCCCACTGAGCGAGTAATGTAATTAGCTATTATTTATGTCACCTGCGTGCATGAGAATCACCGCGTATAAAAGTATTATGTATCAAGTTAGAAGGTTCCAGACATTGCGTGCGATGTCTGTGCCGGTCAGCCGCGCGTGCAGGGAATATGAGTGAAGGTGTTAGAGAAAGCGTGACGTCAGCACACGCATGCGTGAGCGTTACCACCGCATTGTCCTTTCCTACGATGAGCGTGTGACTGGGCACTCGATGTGACGTTGTAACGAACCTCGAGCGTCGTGCACTCAGACGCTTGTCTACGTCATCAACGCTTTTCTGCAAGACTACATTTTTACGGTAGAGCATTTTTTTTTTTTGTAAATGTGGCATGTCGGGCCTAAATTTTATTGCTTTAAAGTCAGACTTTTCTCTTCTCTAGCGGAGAATAGTGTGGGAAACATCATTCTCATTCGCATTCAATGTTTTTTTCACTCAACATTTCCCTATCGCGTCGTACACGCACCCGACTTGTGAAAAGGAGCCATTGTCCCCTAGAACATTTCACAGGAAATTCCCGCTCGGGCAATTTAATGTTTAACTAGTGAACTTACATATCAATCAATGCATGTTGCGTGGAAAGCATTAAAAACATTATTCGCCAACCTACATGTTAACTCGAATGAATGGAAAGTCCAGAAGATATGTCGACTTTCAGATCAGGAAGATACGCATGCAAGGGTCGCATTTATTGCTGGTGAAGATATGACGAAAGGAAACTAATCTGTTTCATAGGTAATAAGAGGTAGCCACGCAAACCGCTGCCACTATATAAAGAGGTCCATGTTACGGTGTCAGTCACTCGCTGCATAGACCTCCCCGCCTGTGCACTGACTTGCCACACAGGTAGAGTCTAAGGAAACAATCTTAACATTTACTGGATTCAAAAGACATATTTATCATAATTTTAAAATATCGGTGTGAATGACTTCGTTTTTTATTAATTTTTGTGGTGTGAATGGTATGTGATTTATTCTCTTATTGCAGTTCGACTTGGCATATTAAATGTAGAAATTCTCAGTTTGCTATCGCTACAAACCTTTTCATGCTAATGATCCCGCCGCACAAACTTTTCACTTAATTATTCATATGCTTGCTCTCAACTCTAGATTTTCAATCAGCTTCTGATTCAAGTTATTCATTCTGTACCAGTGCGTCGCTCTAGAAAATTTTCACCAGACGAATTCAAAACGAGCCGTCTCGTGGCTTTTTTGACATCTATTTCTTCTGGGCTATCCATTCAAATATATTCAGAAATAAAAAGTAACGGACATGTGCACGTGTAAAAATGAGCTCTGAAGAATTTTTTCTTAATAATCTGATAGCTTACCTATAAAATAATGGGAGCAGAGAAGTTTCGTCCAATCCTGTATTCGTGAAAATTTTTGGTAACACATCTCACTTTATTGAACAAACTTGGCTGATTCAGTAGAATAATGATTTTTCCATGACATGACTTGCGCAATTTTTTGTCTTTCATGAGGTACGAAGTGTTGAAACATGCCTAAGCTATAAGGCCGGTTTGGGAATAGGTTTTTGTAGCGTCATCTGCTTCAGAGAAAGTGTGTTCAGGTCCGGGGAAGCATATGGTGGACAAGAAGTTCGGACTTGCAGGCTAGCGTCATCAATTAAACTAGACCAAGCCTAACACTTGCTTCAAATTGAAATGTCATCATATCTGCATTCAACTTAAAAAGTTTCTTAACCCTCTACCGCCGTACGTCACTCTCCGGGAACATAACTTTTAGCTTAAATTATACGTACACTATTGAGTGTAGCAACCTGAGGACGTTTGTACGCAACAGAGAACATTTTAAAGTTGTCGTACGTGGCGGCAAATTATACGTAAACTATTGAGTGTAGCAACCTGAGGACGTTTGTACGCAACAGAGAACATTTTAAAGTTGTACGCGGCGGCAACCATCAGTGCAAGTCATTTTGCGCTCACTAGAACGTATCCTTTTTGGGAAGTAGGCATGTGACAATATAGCTCCGGTTACTCATGTCAGGCGGTAGAGGGTTGATGTTTTTTTTTTCATTTACTCTGGAAAGCAAATTTTCCTGCATTTTCGTCTCAACCGCACAATAAATATTAATTATATTTTACTCAATATTTACATGTTTTACTGGCAGGTTAACTCGAAATTGGCTGGATTGATAATTCCAGTAATTTTTAAATCTCAAACACCGTCATTCCCATTATCCGTAATCCCACTAATAATAACAAAGCTTGCGTATTGAAATTAAATAAATACCTTCCAAACCAATACTTATTATTTTCATGAGATAATTTTAATATATCTTATACATATTATCAAATATATGTGATAAGCATTGCTAATTGATATATTTAAATACAAAACTTATGGGCATCTCTGTTATAAAATTCGTCACATAGGCTCAAAAGTTTTCTCTCTCAGGTACTACAGTGTAAAGCATTCCCCTCAACCGGCTTCAGTCAACCACCGACTTATTGCAAAGCACAACAGTTTCAGCTGGACGAAACCATGAAAACTTTACTGACCACCGCAACTTTAGGTGAGTAGGGTGAAAATCTGCGTACATAAAATGCATTGAATTTATATTAAACCTTATAAATCTCAGGTGAATACTGTTCAATACATATTTTGAATTAAAATTAATATAAATGCAAGGTCTCTCAAATGTTCAAATATGCATTTTAACAGTTTGGTGAAAGCTGCTCTGAAATTTTTGTGCTGTATTAGAAACTTTCAAAATATATTGACAGTTTGTCATAATCATGCATGCTGAAACAAACTGAGGTCATCCATGGCTTCATGAACACGTGCTTTGATAGGCTTACTTACAGTATATTCAAGTTTAGGCCCATGTCTCAGTATCATGATTAGTATTAATCAATGTAATCACGATATCGATCATGCTAGTCAATTGAACGTCAAAAAAAAAAAAAAAAAAAGTCTTGAAAAGTAATTGGTTTTGCATGATGTCGTGTAAAAATAATTGAACGAAAATTTTTAATTTTTCGAAGAGACAATGAATTTTACATAGTATGGACCTTGAACAATGTCCAGAAATTCAGGAATCTTATTTTTTTATCGCACGTGCTGTGGCAGCGCTGCTGGCGAGCGGTCATGCAAAACCTCAGAAGCCTCAATACGAAGCAGAAGGACTATATGTAAGGTGAGTCATTTATTTAACTGACGAGAACCACGTTATATTACAGTACTAATATCAGCGTAATATGGGTAAATAATGCCATAACTTAATGAATAATTGTTAATAAATCTCGAGGATAATTGACACATTATACGTCAGGTGGTTTTAACTAATTTGTCAACAAAACATTCATCTATTTGAAAGGACGAGCGATGGAAAAGAAATGTTAGTTGCATTAATTTGAACAATCCTAGAAAATTCGTGACCGTGAATTTTTTCTCACTTTTTGAGGAATCCCAATCAAACGCGACCGAGCGATGTGTGCATAATAAACATTGAAGAATTATTGTCAATAGCTTAGAGTAAATTTGTTCAGCTTGGAGGCAAATCTAGAAGTAAATTTTAGTTTCGTTGAGGATTTTATCTTAGTGATAAATATTGAGTTTACGAATCGCAGGTCAGCGGACAACGTAGAATTCGCTGATGAACAGGACGGGCAGTACAGAGAGGAGCTCTACAGCAACAACGTCAACACAATACCTGGTAATTAAGAGACGTGACAACTTTTTTTATAATCCTTAAGCCATCTCAGCACTTACTGGAGCAACATCTTGGAATTGGGCGTAGGATGATTGGGCCAAAACATCATGAAAAAATTATTAAAAAACATTTATGCTGGCGTGCTTAGGCTCAATTTATTGATTTTCATTGAAAAATTAACGAACGACGGAGACACAAATTTTCGAATTTTGAAGTTCACTTAAACAAATGATGGTAACTAAACACTGCTATCACACTAGACCAATGGTTTAATGGTACTCAGGTACCATTAAACCATTACGAAGTGGTGCTCGTATCACTCTTGTCGCGTGAACATTTTCAGTTCCATGGATGATATTTTGTTGGTTTTTTCAATTCCCGAAATTGTTTTTAAATGGTAGCAGAAAAAATTAATTACTATGTTCAACAATATGTAAATTTGTTCTTAACCGAAACGCATATATTTTATATTGTATTGTTAATTACACTGTCTATTGAATTATCGGCGATAGAGTAAACTAACAAGACACAAATTTCGGTGAGTGACAAATACTACATTCATTATTATGAGCTGAGAGTATGCAGCGACTATACAAAACTTTCAAGTGGTAGTCGATTACAGAAAGGCTGGTAAGCTCTATTCTAGATGAGTCCCTACTTTTGAAAGCCCTGACATACTGCGATACATTTTATATCGCCAATAACTCTACGAAAACAATATATGAGGAATGAGAAACTTATTATTAGTGAGCTTAAAAAATTATTTAGCTCAAAGATAATGCCCCTATATCGCGCCCAAATGAAGTTTAAAACGTAAGGAGCTTCAATTTTCAATTAATAGTGGCCCCCGAAAAAATAAAAACTTTTCCCTATTAACTCACAAATTTAAAGGTTTCGCATTTTCGTTGTTATTTTTTTCGGAGGTTCCTCCTTATTGTTTCAAAATATTGAAGTGTTGTATTCAAGCATTCAAAATCAAATGTGTAGACAATTTTACACCTATACATCACCTTTTAACGTGATAACACCAGCAAAATAAAATAAAAATCTCCCCTGTTGCCAGGCACCCCCGGCACCGACTACCCCACCCTGGCCGGCATCCCCAAGACGGGCTTCACGTGTGCGGACAAACTCCCGGGATTCTATGCTGATGAAGAAGCGCGCTGTCAGGTACCTCACATTATAATTCTTTCCAATGTAAAATAACTGCCATCACCAGACGTGGTAATTTTCTCTTCTAATTCAGGAAAAATCCTGACGTGAACTAAAATTTAATTAAATTGAAGTCAGTCATGGCAAATAAATAGCTACCCTGTGTATTATAACTAAGTGAGATGTTATAAATATCTTATTATTAAATATATGTCATAATTTGCAGAAATCTAATTATTATGTTATTATTGCAATTAGTTGCAGTTATAATCTGTCATTATTGCAATTAGTTGCAATTATAATCTGTTTTATTGAAATTAGTTGTAATTATAATCTGTTTTATTGAAATTAGTTGTAATTATAATCTGTTATTATTGAAATAAGTTGCAGTTGCAATCTGTTATCATATAAATTAGTTGCAATTATAATCTGTCATTATTGCAATTAGGTGCTGCTAAAATCTGTCATTACTGCCATTAATCATAGTTATAATCTGTCATTTGTGCAATTAGTTGCATTAAGAAACAAATGACCGGTATCACGACGCTGATGCCCCGGTTCATGGTGCAGGTATGGCACTATTGCAAGACGGACGGCTTCAAAGAAAGCTTCCTGTGCCCCAACGGGACGGTCTACAACCAAGCCAACCGCGTGTGCGAGTGGTGGTTTAATGTGCTCTGTGAGAACACCAGCGCCTCCTACAGGGTTAGTGGAACATCATGTACACGAAAATTACGATTTATTGATCAGAGTTTTCATCCTATTGCCAACTTAGTTAAACGCTATGCACCTTTTTTTCGAATACTTCTGTTTTCTTCATTTATCCTTCCGTTATTAAATTAGGCCACTCTGCGCCAACGCTCGTTCATTTTTACACTTTTTTTTGCAATACCAAGTCGGCATGAAATTATATACGTAATATAGTGTAAGTTAGAAGGAGCATATATATACATGTATTGTGAAAATTTCTAAGTGTAAAATTAGGTGGGGAAACCAACGATAATCAAGAAATATAATTCAGAAAGGGAAAAGTTATTTATGTTAGTCATCCATGTTGATAAACACAAATATATTTTAAAATTAGTTCAGATCACAACAGCTATAATAAGGTTCATCTCAATTCTAAATATACATAAAATCAATATAATATCTTAACCTGCTAATTAAAATAAAAATTAATTTTGAATCTTGAACATGAAATGCTTTGAGCAGGAGCAATTATTTCACGTTCCAAAAGCTGTAATTATGAAAGAGTAAAGACATTCGTTTTTATCAACTTTATATTACAATTATAAGGGATCATCTGAGATGAAATTCATTATATTATCATAGATAAAATTCATTATTATATATTTATTTCATTCATATTCACTTGTCTATAATTCATAAATACTTCCACTTTCCAGGTGAACGAAGACTTATACATCATCCCATCCTCAACCGAGACTCCTGACGCTGCAGGAGTCCCTGTACACTACAAGGAGGAGCCTCTACAATACCATCACGAGCCAGACTACTACACGGCCTGAGTGATACATGTACGCAAGATATAATTGAACTTTACGCATCGGACAAGACAATCGAAGCAGATAACTGGTTCTTTTATTAGTGGTTATTGCTTCATTGGTGTGGGGTTATTGGTTTAAGAAATCAACATTTTCCAGTGTCAATTCATTTTGAGGATAGCATCAATAATTTACATTTGTTTCGAATCGAAAATCTTTCTGAATAAACTATTTGACTATATTTAGAGAACTAATCGAAAGAAAAACGAATAAATCGTATTATTCACAAACACATACGCATCGATCGCCGACCACAAAGACTCAACCCAATTGTTGAGATGCAGAGTTTTTGTTTATCATGGTTTCCAACTAACCCTAGACGTAGTTAAAAGCTCGTCTTCACCTAGTCTCCATGTGAATTAGTTTCCCAAAAATTTATTATTTGTCTATCTCACAGCCTCACCGCCGGTTTAAGTTTGCTGCTTGCCTGTTAAAAATTCATCCCAACCGAGGTAGTTTAGAGATTATTGGTTGATATTTTAGTTACTTTCAACCGTTTCACCGTTCAAAGTTCATACGGCTGCTGAATTGCCAAGATCTCGTCGATCTGACCATACACAAATGATTCTTTTGCTTGTCAGATCTTTTCCACGAGTATATCCATTTATTCTCCCGTCGCATTGACAAAAATTTATTCAAGCATAATTGCTCAATGATTAGTCAAAATAATCATTGCCCATATCTGTCCATGATTTAATCACGTTTTAATAGCCCGATATTAATGTCATGCCTTATGTTCGTAGCGCTGATCAGTGAGAGCTGAATATTATATATTTATTGTTGAACCTATTTCACCAGAAATCATGTTTTCATGTTATTTTACGAGTGGAAAGTAAATGGCGTTATACTATTTGTGTTCTAATTTATATACAACTAAGAATAATTTCCTCATCATAGACGGACCTAGCAAGCAAGTTGTGGATCGGTTTATTAATATCATAAATGGCTGACTGGCTGAACACAGAAAATATTTTAAAACAAAGAAGTAAACTTTGTGTCGTGGTCAAACTGATACGAGTATTCGAAACGAACCTCGCTAGACAATGCGCGTATTGGCTTGAGAAGCTAAATACATTGACAGCTACTATGTATTTATACTCACATTCAACAAAATTTGGGTTGCATGTCAATTGTCGGAAGGAATTATCACGCCCATGTCATGTCAGAACGGTCTACGCCAACATGATGAGTAATGGGCAAGGATAACAAATTGGTTTATTTAAGTACTTGGCCTGGTGTTGTCAAGCTTGGATGCCTGCTCTAGATGGAAATACAAAATGCTGGCCAGTCTAGCTGTAAAATCAGCCTTTCGGAAGCCTTTCGTACCTATGGTACTTATCTACCGTTCGAGAAATGCTCAGGAAGAATTTTAATTTAGCAAAAAACTTTATTTTCTTTTACCTTTTGATTCTGTCAATATATAGTGGAACCTAAGAACACGACCCTACTGTAAAGTGATACGATGTGAATTCGACGCAAAAATATGGCATAATGTTTTCAGAGGTAGACGGAATTTGAAATTAGACGCGAACCTGCAGTGATTTTTGGCGATTGTTTATTGCATTATTCGGTTGATGTAAGAACATTTTTTGGTTCACGAGCAAGCTTTGCGCGTTTGAATTGTTTTACTGCGCTTTAAGGCAGTTTCATTCGGAAGTTGACCAGTGACCACTTCCAACATCGACGCCCGACTTGAACGAATTCATATCCATGGTTGATTACGACCTCCCAATCTCTCAGCAAGTCGGCCCCGTTCGTTTTTTCCAATTCATGGATTTCGCTCGACAAAATTTCTCAATAAGCTCTATATGATTAAAGAGAGACTAGCTGCAGTTACTGGAGTTTTTATAAGGATTTTGAGGAGGTCAATTTTTCTTAAATTGCTCTCAGTTATGACACAAAAACAACGTGTTTCACGACAGTGTTTACATTTTGGGCCCACGATGACGTCACAGTCGGAACAACAAACGACATCCGCAAAGAGCAGCTGCGCGTGGGTCAACCTTGTATTAATTCAACCATGTTCATATCAGCTTCCGGGGTTTCACTGTAATTGGAATTATCTTTAAAATTAAATTTTGATATCACAAAATAAGTATTACAGACAATGCCAGCAAATTATCGCTATAGCGTCTTACCTAAACTTGAAAAAAAAATTAAATATAGAATGATCCGAGATGTGACTTTCAGTGCAACCTGGAACTTGCCGGAATGCATTCGCATCACCTGAAGTCAGTTTGGGAGAGTCCGCCTCGAAAACGAAAATGTTGAACCGTCAGTGCAAGTCGAGCAGGTGTAGGGGAGGTGTGTTGGTGTTGCGCTGTTCCCACTCATCGCATGACCTTGCAATCTAAAGCGGAAATAATAATGGAAAAATGCTATTTCATAGATTCTCGAATTTGCATTGATTTTCCATGGAGACAATTTTAAGCTGCCGTCATATCGTTGCATGATGTTGTTTTGATGCAACGAAGTGTCTGAACTAAAATGTTTGATGTGAATCACGGGTGTACAGTGAACACTTGTGACAACAAGAATTGCGTCCTATGGCTATGCTACTTATTACGTCGCTGCAACGTTATTTTATCGACAGTCGATTCCTAACAATATGATAAACTCTATTATGTAATTTTATACTTCACTTATTCATTATCGCAATTGATCGCAAACATTTCCAACATTAGTTTTGGGTCTTATTAATGCCTTGCGCGTTCAACAATTTGAAAAGGAAGCGTTTGAGCGGATGGCAGGCTACAAGGGCAGCGTGCGTAGTGATATCAACTCATCCTATCGTATAGCGTTGTCTCATAGGCGGATAGGCCATACACATCTATTAACACTCTCGAATTATTGGGATTTAGAAACGTTAGATTTTTATTCACAACTAATACTGTGAAAGAATAATCTATGCCAAGCTCCTATTATAACATTGCTGGAAGAAGAAAATCAGCGATTACATTTTTTTCATTTTTTAAGAAAAGAAAGACGGATCGGGAAATGTAACTGGGAGTTTTCGAAATTATGTACATAGACTGTGGTAGTGTTTAGTGGAGTATATACATAGTGCTATGCACAAGATTGCAGTGTGAACGGACGCAACGGTAACAATCGTGCGCTGAATTGACAATGAGACTTACTATCTCATCATAGAAGAATCTTGCTTATATTTGAACGCACGAACGTTCAACATTTGGCATGTCGACAAGAATTTAATAGGCTTAGACGTACTACTACTACATAAGACGTTGATCTATATTCATGTCATTGTTTAGTTTCTTGAAAACTCTTGAACTTTTCAATGTCCGGCAATATCATTCTAGTAATTTCTGCAAATTACTTGAGAGTCATTTATATATGTGTGATATTATTAATACGAGTACTGAAATTCAACTCCTTTTAGTAGATGTAACTTGTGCAGTTTTACTCAGGCTGGAAAAATATGTTGTGAGAACTTGCTCGCCATGTCTGTTCGTCTGTCTGTCCGTCCGTGACTTCATGTTTTCGTCGACGAGAAAATGCGCACTTAAGTGATCGAGCATTTCAAGTGAAACTTTTAATTCCGCGCTTCCAAAAAGCGGTTGAAAGCGCATATATTTTTATTCAAGCTTTATGCAACTCACTGTGGCCAAATCGTTATTTTGACTGTTTTTTTTATCTGTTTTACTCATCTTATTCTGCTGCGTCTGTAGTGCTCTGGAGAACCTAACTGAGGTGTATAAACAACGGACGTGTTTCTTAAAATATAGCAATTAGGTAATATATATTTTAAAACATGGTAAATAGATAAATCATTCCTCATAATATCCTATCTATAAATGTATATGATAATGTACACTCTAACTATTAATTTGGTATACATGGTAATAAATTACTTAAAATACGGTAAATTTAGTAATATTTTACTTATAATGCGGAAAACATGGTAATATATTCCTTATAATATGGCAATCTGTAATGAACGAACTACTATACCAGCCAAATTCTTGTTTGTCGTAGGCATGTTCTTCTTGTCGTCTTGTTCTTGTTTGTCGTCTTGTTTGTCGTAGGCATCAGGCCGGATCACCACTACATCGAACACGGCGTTGTAGTTCCCAGTAGCGCGAAAATTATTTTCATGTATCAAGATCATTTTATATTCATGTAAGAAGTAATTCTTTCTTTGAAGTTGACGAGACTTAAATAAAATCTAATTACATTTGCTCCTTGGCAAATATTTACTAATAACAGAGATTTCTGAAACATGCAGAAATACGTAAACGTGTCTCTAAATGTGTATGTGTGTGAATATGTTTGTATGTACCTATGTGTGTATGTGAATATATGTGCGTGTGAAGATTCTCACATTTCCTGACTGCCATGACATTAATCGGAAAATACATGCATTGCCTTGCCGTTCTCTATTGAAAACTTCCGTTCCATCGACTTGTACCTGTTCTCTATAGAATAGAATAGAATAGAAGTGTCGGCGTTGAAGACATAGGCCCATGGCCTGTTGCCGATTCTTGAATTTTTCGTGACTTGATTCACAAGGGATCCGGCCTTTGGAACCCGATCTTTCTATAACTGACGATTGATTGAGATAGCTGCTGGACTTATTGCCTGCTCCGTAATTTGCTAGGCATTTTAAGACTGAACATATGCTCCTGCATAGCTTCGTCTAGTCTGTTTTTGAAGATGTTCATACTCGGAGCTTCAACGATGCTATGCAGGGAGGCTGTTCCACATGTCGGTGACTCGAAGCGAGAAGAAATGTTGTCGCATGGATGTGTTCCAAAGCTGTTTTTTTAGTTTATAGCCGTGGCCGGATATGTAGGTATATATTTTACTCAAGATGCTCGATAAAGTTTCTTGTAGCGAGTGATCATAGCTATTAATTAGTTCTAATAATATTATGAATATTTAATAATTACTTTCATATATCGCATATAATATTGGTCTAATTTGATTTTTATGTTAACAAAATGTTAAAATTAAATGCCCATGAAGGTTGTTTTATATTTTTCGTTGGACAAATCAAATGATCGCGACTCAGGCTAAGTAATTCTTCCCTCTGAAGAAAACAATGTCATTCAGTGCTTTCTCAAGTCGTTGAACTCGTGAACAATTAATGGCCTAGATTCATTTTTTCAACTATCAGCAATAATTTTCGCAGTGATGATTAGTCATGAATGTTTGTTAATCATCTATGGTTTAGAAGACTGTTCTCTCGACCATACAACGAAGTCCTCTGCAAACTTTCACGCTGCATGTGAACAAATGATTTTTGCACATCGTCAACCGACAGATTAGCTACAGTTCCCTTCATCACAAAACTGCTTGCGGTGAACGTCGGTAACTGTTGACACTCACTACTGCACTTAATTGCTTCATTATGTGTCCTTAAATCTGTTATGTTTTCAAAAATATATTATAACCCTCACTGTCGAAAATGTTTGTACATTATGAGTAATGACCCTAGACGTAACGATGTTACCTTCATTTTTAAAGCTTACCGTCAATTCTGTATGTTGCGTGCCCTCGAAGTTCTGATTAATTGAACCAGACGTCACGATAATCTCTTCGCAGAATAATTATGAAAATAAAAATTTTACCCGCGGACAAAAGCAATCATGTCAATATCTAGTCGTCGCTGTTACTTTCAAGCGTTTGTATACTCTTGCACGGACTACAAACGTACTTTTACCTACTTACGCTCATCTTGTTCCATTTACATTGAACAACTTACGCACGATAATAGTTTCTTAATATATAAATTTTCCGCAGAATGAAAATCGGTATTTTACTTCTTCATGGCCTTTGTGATTTAGTCTTGCAGACACTCCTTGCTCAGTTGTAATGTTCTTTAACACTCCTTTGAATTCATGCATGTGACGTATTGTTTTTTCACTGTTTTTTCTTCAAATTGTACCGAAAAGATGGCGGCTGCGTGAGAGGCACCTAGCTATAACTGTTTACACTCTGCGCGTGCCGCCGCAGCAGCAGCAGCAGCATCAGCATGGCGCTGTTCATCTCAGTGATCGCACTTCTCGCGCCTCTAAGTGAGTTGCTCTGCGTCACACCTCGCCTTGTTTGTCTCTCAACATTATATTGGATTGAATAAAATCTCTTTACAGTTTCAAGAAGCCTAATGGTTTTTAGTCTCAAGGTTAGAATTGATGCCATTTTAGCGCATTTTCTCATTTATGGAAAAACTATTGTGCTCGCCATGTCCGTCTGTCTGTCCGTCCGTCTGTCTGTCCGTCCGTGCAACTTCACGTTTTCGTCGACAAGAAAATGCGCTCTCTGTCACTCACTGCACTGAGTACTGAGTTATATTTTTTCTCGTTGTTGCCCAGGTGCCGCTGTAGACGTGCCGGTCGTGTCTCTGGAGGGCACAGCAAAGAACGAGAACTACCTGCTCGTAGGACGTCAGTACAAAATGACTTGCTCGTTCAGGGCAGGGTACGACGACCACGTCTCGGCTGTCAGGTGGCAGCTCTACGGCAAGAACGTCTACACGTGGGACGCTGCAGCTGCTGGCGTCACCGGTAAGAAATTTTTCTATATACGTGTATATATAATTTTAGGCATTAATATGACTCGATTGTATGCTAAATGTATTTCATGCTAGTATGCTATTAGCTCTCGTATATGCGAGTTTTTTACTTGATTTTAAAATCCATGATGTTGTTTTAATTGTTTCAATATGAGTACCGGTACCTACGTAATGTTAATGATTTTGAACAATTTTTATTAATTTTTAATTGTGTTACTGCTAACAGTTTAGTGTGATCTAATTAAACCCATTGTTTTATCATTGATTTATATATGTTATTTGATTATTCACATTCACAGTGACGCCACCGTTGTTGGGGCACGTATCCCTAAAGCCTGAGGGCCCCGCGCCTCACAACATTGAGGTGACCGCGCCCAGTCTGGCGATGGCCGGCGACTACATCTGCAGCGTCCAGTCCACCAAGGGGACTGTCAGGAGTGAAGCAATCACCATATATGTTATTGGTAGGTGGTGTCACTAATGTATGTTTTGACCATTGACCAATGGGACTGTCAGGAGTGAAGCAATCACCATATATGTTATTGGTAGGTGGCGGCACTGTATGTATGTTTTGACCATTGACCAATGGGACTGTCAGGAGTGAAGCAATCACCATATATGTTATTGGTAGGTGGTGTCACTAATGTATGTTTTGACCATTGACCAAGGGGACTATCAGGAGTGAAGCAATCACCATATATGTTATTGGTAGGTGGCGTCACTAATGTATGTTTTGACCATTGACCAAGGGGACTGTCAGGAGTGAAGCAATCACCATATATGTTATTGGTAGGTGGCGGCACTAATGTATGTTTTGACCATTGACCAAGGGGACTGTCAGGAGTGAAGCAATCACCATATCGGTAGGTAACACTAGTGCGTGTTTTGACGCATCTTTTGGTTTGCCTAGTCACTTGACTGACTAGTACGTAGATTAGAATTATGATGTACGTTATAGGTAAGTAACGTCATTAATCAACGTTTTGACGCAGCTTGTATTTGGTGAGTGGCATAAAGGCTTAGTCGATTAACATTATTAATTAACGGTGTACATTAAGTGTGTTACATATTACTATTATTGCATTATAAAGAAGTTAATACGGTCCAACTCAATGGATTATTAAATCGATCACTGTGCTTGGTATGATCGCGTGTGTTCACAGTTTCACCGTAATATCGTGTAATCGTATTGCCTATTTTCACAGTCAATTGACTTGCGGTATCTTCCTATTTATTATTTCAGCCGATCAACAAATCATTATATGAATGCAATTTTTTTGATATTGAACTCGACTATTCAAGTTTGATTAGAAAATCTATTTATTCTGGAAATTAATTGGACTCCATCATTTGCACCAATATACATTTGAACCTAACTAACTATAAAACATCTGTCTTTTGTGTACTAAAATTTCCTATATTTATGGATCAAGAAAGACAATACTTATAACGGTGACGAAAATTGGTCGTTGGTCGTTTTCAGTCAGTGCCCTGAATTCCTTTTTCTTCTTCATGGTGCTTCAAAAATGACACTGAATAACTTTTATATTTACAAACTTCACAAAGTTTATTCACGGAAATCTGATACGCGAAAAAAAATCTTATTATTGAGTGAAAATTTCACATAATGTGCCATATATCTTATTTTATTCCATCGTTACAGATATCAGCAATGGAAAATATGAAACTCACGTGGACCTTTTGAGCAACATGCTGCAAACAACAATTTCCTTCACAACAACAACGACCACTCTTGCTCCCATCGAACTGACTCCTTCGAACTCAAGCACAACCACTGTTATCCCTCCTTCGCCGGCACCGCTGCCACCAGCGCAGTCAACAGTCACAACGCCTCCTTTGAAGCCGCTGCCTTTTACCTCCTCTTCGACTAAAACTCCTGCAACGCCTCCTCCACCATGGGTCCCACACGGACCTGCGTCACCTCCCCCTGAGTGCATCCTCGTTTGGTGGTTCCGAACCCCGCCCATTGCTCCCCGTCCACAAATCAAGTGCGGGTTTTATGACTACACATCAAACGATGTCGCCGAAGAAATGCCGGGAGGTCTTCACATGTTCCAACTGCCGAGCGGCGCCTGGCAAGCCCAAATTGACAGCACTCGTATTCCCATTGCTTCAATTCCACCAAACCATCGCCTGGGCTGTATCGTGACCATTCCGGACACCTCGTACCGAGAGGTGGTAAAATTTGAGGATGGGCTCACGGTAGATCATGAGATTGACTCAGTCGGCTGCCCAAGTCTGGACGAGTTGAGTGATCTCTATGGCTTTATTCTGAGCATAAGAGGTGCAGTTACGAACTGCAGAGGTGACCACGTACCAGAGTCTGAGTCGCAGCCAGCAGTGGCAACTGTAAAATGTCCATCCGCTGCCATCTTCAAAAATGGGACCCTAGATACGAAATGGACGTTGAGATTGGAGTGCGTAACAGGACAAACGTCTTGGAAAATTGGTACTGAAAGATCGGTTAAAAAAGATTCGCCCCTTGCCGAAGAAGATATGTCGGATCCAATGCTTGCTCAAATGTCTGACGAACTAATCAAACGAACTGACTTCGATTTTCGTACTTACGGTTGGCCGTTTTGTATTGGAGGAACACAATCGCTCCTGTTAACGAAATCGATTTCTTCATTGCTATTAATCTTCCTACCGCTTTTGATTTGGCTGGTCCCATCAGTTTTGACCTCCTAACTGCTTCCATAATGAGCGAATTTCATTCTTCTCAGGGTTTCGTAATATCAATCTGTGAATGTGCATCGAATCAACTTGTAAAATCAGCTCAAGTTCGAATGCATTTTAAACTATTATTCCGTGGGCCACACCTTTTATATCGTAGTAAGTTCACTTGTTGCAATTGTCTAAGTATAGTTTTTGGAGAACACGGAAAAGTGGAGGAGTTTGAAAAAATACTTTGCCCAGAACACTGAAATGTTGATCAATATTCAATCAACGTCAACAGTCTTGTATTACCCATTTTACACTAATTTATTTTGGCATTCTGAAAATACTTTCACAGTTCACGCTCGTCCTTAAATATGCAATTCAAATATCGGAAACAATAACTTGCACGTCATCTTCAGTCGCACTCTCCAAACGGTTCTGAATGAACCCAAGCTTCTCCAATGTTCGGGTTATTTTGTCTTGCGTGAATTTTTATTTTGAGTAAGATTATATTAATTAAAATTTTAATCGTACTGCCAACAATCAAGTGCCGAATGCCTTTCGCACCTTCATCGCAAATGAATACTGTTATTCCCGTTGGGATTTTCAGTCACTGCCTCTGTTTTACGATTTTAAGGCTTGCTAAATATAACGATAGTTTAGGCAAAACTGTTACATTGATTACAACGTTCAACTGCAAAAATTGCAGATAAGGTTTATGTCGAATTTTCATTTAAAATCATAATTTTGACGAAACTAAGCAGACACACGAAAAAACGTGCACGAAAAATTTGTTTGACTTCATATTTTTTATACAAATTGTAAATTCATCAGTAAAGCTGTTCAACGTTTAATGCATTGGTTAACGCAATTATTGCGCTTTGTGAGTAAATTGTATATTTCATCCAATACATAACAAAGTATTTCATCATAATTAAAAATCAACGCATAAAATGTACCTTAAACATTAACTATATGCCAAGTATGTCATTTCTGCACAATCTTCTTCTTGCCAAACTAGTTGTAATTGCTTTTAGGAACTTGAATTGCATTTAAATAGCCCAATGTTTCCAGAAATCTTATGGTTCAAAAGGAATTGATTATTCTTCTTATACGTCTTAATGTTGATTGGTCGCATGAAATTGATGCTGGGTCGCAGAGCTTTTATTCACTGCAAGAGAGAGGTTAAACTTGCTGGTCGAATTGATCTCTAGACATGGGCAAACGATCAAATCGTTTTGATCCTCGCTCGAGCAACATGAAGAGCTATGAACTGCCCTTCTCGAATGGCTTCTTAAGCGATATACTGGATGCTACAGTTGCAGTCTAAGTTAAAAGTAACCATTCTGCGGAGAAATAAATTCTCTTGCGTAGGATGTATTTTTCATTCTATAATGTTGAATAAGATTGGTGTGTTTCCTTAACGCTGTAGCGCCGAATCTGTAGACAAGATCACGACCGGTTTCTTGAGATTTTGTTAATAAAAATAAAAATGTAAATAACTTTCTTTTAAGTGTTAAAAATATTTTCTATTCAAATGCTTTTAATGACTAAATGCTTCCCAGATAAATGTTTTTTTATTGAAATGCTGTTATATACGAGTATAATGAAATTTCTAATAGATATTTTAAGCTTCTTTTTACCTTCGCAACGTGCACCATAGGTTATAAGTACCCTAAAACGGAGTGACTTGGATCATTTTTAGCGCTGGTACTTTTTGTGATGTAGCGGGGAACCACTATACCATGTACTGGCCACCAAATCTGAATATCCAGCACGGCTGAAAGTCGTGGTGCAAGTTATCAAGTCATAGTTATGAATAAAATGCGTTGAAAACAGAAGGGTATTGTGATCGAGCAGTAATAAACAATTAATATAAGAAAGGATAATTACTTTCAATAATCTCATTTACTAATCGTATACAGCAATACACAGTAATTGTATTAAATGCTCATTTTGACTTACTGGGGTCACCGTGACGTTGTCTGGATGGTTAAGACAGTAATCACTAAATAATACAATGACACATAGATACAAATGCGGTTTTGCGGTTTTCTTTCACTAAAAAATTTCTAAGTAAATATCCCACTCTTGGTGATGAACCGGAACCATTTCGGGTGATGAGGGTTCAACGGAATCAGCATCGTGGCCAAGTATGTCCGACAATCCCTCTTAAGATACGGTACCACGTACCTTAAGTGTATGCTCAATTGGGGCCTTTATAGGATTCTTCATTTAGGTTTCGGGGCTCGACCAATTCTCACGATTTGTCATTTCACCGGCATATCGTTATAATCGGTTTAAGCCTTTAAAGATGATACAGAGATTTACTGCTGAACATGAAAAAGGAATTTGTGGGAATTCACGGAGATGTTTATAGCTACCTCCTTCACGTACGCTTGTTTATCGCGTGAATTAATACTGAATTGAGACATCATTGGGTAATCTCAATATGAATGAAGTGAGACTATTACGCATCTATTAACGAAATTTTTTTAAGCAATTAAAGAAATTAGCAAATTTTGAAAACAATCTTAGTTCCCCGTTATCAAACTATTCTATTTTTTGGTAAAAAACAACTTGGGCATAAATACTGCTTACGAATTAGGGAACCGATAAAATGCCTAAACCGATGCCTAAATGAGCCATCATTTGAAAAGCTTCAGAATTTCAATTGTTATTTAGGAGGAATAGGTGAATAATTGTTACTAAGCTGTGCGTTTTCCAGAGATTCTCAATTTTTTGACAATCCTGAGGCCTCGATTTAAGCTGCCGGTTTGGTCTGTTTCAGACAAATTCTAGAGTGAACCATTAGTAATTTTCTTCACCTTTCGTTGAAAGGGTAATAAACATCGGTAAAGATTTAAGTAACATTTTTATTTTTTATTCAGTATTTGAAATTTTGTTTATTTTTTACTTTTTAAATGCCAATCACTAAAAAATTTAGACAATGTAACAGCAATGAAGTATATAAAAATTATATACATCTCAATTTAATTAATTACACTAATTGTCTAGGAATAAAATAAATCTAATTTACAGTTGACTCAGAATCGTCGGCCCGTGGTGGCGGCTACGGCGTTTTGGTAGGCCTGCTGGAAGGCGGCAGTGGCTGCGGCCACATCAGCCGTCTGGGGCACTTGGAACCCGGCGCCCGGCAAGCCAGCGGGGATTGTGGCGGCAACCGGTCCGGTCCAGCGCGGCTGGGTGGGTTGGGGGGCGGCGGCAAATGTGTGGCGGGGGGCCGCGGCGGGCTGGGTAGCCCCCAACGCAGCGTTGTAGCTCTGGAAGAAAGCGTTACGGGCGGCGGCAACGTCAGCGGTGTCGGCGACGGGCGTGATTTGACCATCAACTCCAGCAGGGACGGTTGCAGCAAAGGGACCGTTCCACTTTTGGGTGGTGTCAGGGATGGCGTTGAAGTGGCGGGGTGCGGTGTGAACTGGTCCAGTGAATCTGGGCTGGTGAGGGGCGATATTCTGGCCCGTGGTAGCAGCCACCTGGGCTCTGTAGGCGGCGAGGAAGGCATTTCGAGCGGACTCTACATCAGCTGTGTCTGCCACCTGAGCTGCAGAGCCTGGGAGGCCAGCAGGGATGGTAGCAGCAACAGGACCATTCCACTTGAAGATGGGAGTTTGATGGTGGCTTGGTTGAGGGTTGAAGGTATGGTGAGTGGGTCTCGGTTGGTGGAACTGCTGGTGCCCCCCTGCGACGGGATCGTCAGGGGCGGCGGCAGCTGCAGCAGCTTGAGCGTTGTAGAGCTGCTGGAAGCGAGCGCGTTCTGCCACTACTTCAGGAGTGTCCTGAAGAAAAGGCGACGCGCAAGCGCAGCCAAGCATTGCCAACAAAACCTGCAATGAAATTTCCTCATTAAAATCATGGAACGAAAGAGAGGGAACTAACCGTACAATTTCTTTCCAGACTGACGCCTTTTTTTTTTTTTTTGACTCATGGCATTTGCGTAATGCAAATGTCCTCAAATTTTTGCCAGACAAATGTCGCTTTCTTTGGGCGATCACATACGGAAACTGAAAAATGAACAGTTGTTGTCTTATTTTTAGATGCTAGAGTATGAAAAATATTGATTAGATTTTACGTTAATCTATTTTGATTAATAATACTCATACAGACGCTAGGTGGTTAAAACTTTCTGCTGGCATCTAAGCGATGAAATCCTTACTACCCTTTTGAATAAACTTTCAGTGTCAGTAAAAATTGTGACTCACTAACTAATATTACCTCGCGCTTAAAGCTGCCAAATTTTTATTTTCAATTAAACGCATTAATGCATGTGTTTCAATTTAACGCATTAATGCATTTGTGCAAGGACATTTGTTCAGATCGCGATCTGTTTTGTTGCACTTCATAAGAATTAAGAAGGCCATTTTTGTTGAGTTATAAGCTTCTTATCCTTAAGAGCTTCAATCGAGTGAACCGAGTGAACCGACCGTTGCTGAGAAATATTTAAAATGTTAAGTACAATGTTGCCGATTTATTGGAAGCAAACGAATCGTGACAAACTTTTTAGTGAATTTATTAAACTATTTGGAAACTTTTACAGATGATATGAATTTTTTTAATTTTCTATACCGTTAATTTCTAATTTAGAACTCGAATAGATTTTTGTGATTTTTCTGTAAATTAGCGTCGTGGATTGACATATTTATTGAAAAATTACTAGTTTTGATTGACTAGCTTATTAGTTATAAATTACGTGCGGAAAAACCCCGCTGGCAGATTAGGTTCAGGACATTCATTAATTGAGGTCAAATTTTAAAGACCAGGTCTATTGTCATCAGAAAATTAGAAATGATCATGCTGATAGAAAATGCTCATTTTGTGGAGTGATTTCTCTTCCAAAATTAATTTCTCTGACGCGTTAAATGAATTTGTTCAAATTCGCAAAACAACTTAGAAAACGTTGGGAACAGCTGCACTGATTTCCATTTTGTGATATCTTCTCATAGTCAGCATTTAGAGCATTTTATTTGTGTACCACTTTCGAAATTTAGCGTTCAATGAGATTTACTGTCTAACAAATACAAATTAATTTGATATTTGCCTTGTCTTGATGTATCATATCAATTTTAAAAGATGTATATTTAACTAACATTTTATGAATTTCTGCAATAGTCACATGTAGGCGTGTAGCAACGGAATTCTCTTCGCCATCAAAATTTTTCGATAAAGTGTTATTAATGTTGAAAATAATGGTTGTTTATTGATAGCCGAATTAATATACTGATGGTGTTTGTTTACTCACCAAGGTCCTCATGTTTGTATGGGAGATGTTGAGCCGGCGACAACTGAGATCGAACTGCGTTACTGTCGAGGGCGGCAGGTCTTTTATAGGCAGCGGGAGGGCGACCTTGTCTACGCTGGTCCCAGGCAGCTCCTAAACTGGAGCGCCCTGCCTTGGCTGCAGCATACCAGATCCTGCGAGTCTAGTCCCTGCCTGCACCACTTCCTTGCGCCGCACCAAGCACCAGGACTAACATGTACCAAATCTATAACCTTGTAATGTAGTGCATGCTTAATTATTTTCTATCTATTTAATTATTTCGTACCTATTTAGTACCTATTAAATCATATTTCAATTATTCTGTATGTATCAGAGGCGGCTAAGAATTATATAATCTCGTAAACTCAGCGTGACTTTCAGTATTATTTACAGTGCACACACTCAACCCAAGTTAAAGTGACATGGCAAGATATCCTGCAGGATAATTTTGCCAAGTTGGGGCTACATTCACTTGCTAACTTGTGTTGCGGACAGATTTTAGTTGGGCCTCACCTAATCATCTATCTTTTTAGCGACAAATCACAATTTGCCAGGCGGATATGTTATCAAATAAGAATTTTATACCAAATGACTACATTTTTTAGTACAGGATGAGGGCAAAATGTTTGGTCATTTTCTGTCTTTCTAAATGGTTTAATATATTAATTCTCAAAGCCTACTTTAAACAACTCTTTTCGGGTTATGAATTTATCACAAATTTTATTTTCCACCCCAATTGGTTCCTACTATTGAACACAACTGCACCCAAACAGTTCTGTGCCGTTACTTTGCCTAGTATTTAAAGAATGGCCTGTAAAATTACTTCATTCTGTCGATCGTTGAGCAGAACAAAAAGTAGATTACGTAATCGAATAAATATATGACTTGGAATACCGTTCCAACCCGCTGCTGTAGGCATTCATTCGCAGCGTTTGGTCCTTCCTGAATGGACATCGTAATTTGATAACGTAAGTTTGATTTTAGTTCTTTGACTACTAGTTTAATTAATTCAGTGTTAGCAGGTCATGCATGGCAAACTCCTGCTGGGTCTATAGCGAATGAGATTTTATTCTCAACTTGTGATCGTTTGAACAACGCGCATCTAAATTGTGTTCCTCTAAATAGATCGCATCGAACTTATATTCCCTTGAATGTGCGCGAAAAATTCTAAACTTAACTTAGAAGCATTACTCAATTGATAGTTGACGCAAAACAAAACCTTTCAATAAATCATTGCAGGGTAATAAACTTTTGTGCTGGTAAGAATAGCCTTAGAAAAAACGTTTCTTCTCAATTTTGAACGTGTTCGATTGGAGCTGCTGCTTATCTGGGGTCAGTTACGTGCATCCAATGAGTATAAGAAACTTTGTATATGTTTAAGACTGTTAAGACTTTTCTCTCTCTAAAACTCATAATTTATAAATCTGGGAGAAAGTTGTTGTCAAACTTATCTCGCAAAAACGTAATCAGCATAGCAAAAAAACTATTATTTACTCTTTTCATGAATCATCAGGAGTATTTATCCATTTATTCATTTCACATTTAGTGCCAAGACGTCCGATAATCAAATACGATTAACCGATAAAAGTCACATTGCAATTTTAATATAAATGCATTTTATTAGAATTCCGAAGTCTATAAACTACATCCTGCCTTTGATGCGCCCTGCAGGTATACTGGCTTATTACAGTATTCACAGATTTTTGAACGGATTTTTCATTCAAAGAATATATTTTTGAATAATTGTACTATTTTTACCTGAAAAATTGTTCGTATTATATCCACGTAGCAATATAAGCAGCTAAAAATATTGGAAATTACTCCCTATGTTTAATATTATTGAATAGTATTTAATATTTATTATATTTGTTATAGCGTGTTCACCACTTCGATAAAACCGATCCACTCTTTTCGATCTACAACCTACAAGAAGAAAAGCTCAGTCCGTTAGAAAATAGTTTGCCTTAAGATTTATCTCTAGCTATGTATTTGTAAAGAATTATTTGCGCTATAAAACGCCAACACTAGCTTTTAACGAGAATATTTTAAATTTTTTGGACTGACTTTACGAATAGTTTGGAGAGTCCATCTTCCTGGTGTCCTCTCTAAAAACTAGTCACCACTCAGCGGTAACTAAATCAACACCTAAACTATCATTAACATGACCACCATCATCATGGAATGACGTACGTGATGGCTGATCAGACAGAGTGTTGCTCAAGACCTGATCGTGTATCTCGATCGCCCGTAGCGACACGCCTTTGTTCTACTCGCTGCCTGCCTCCGTTAACCCGGACCACTTCTCTCCTTGTCTGTCCTCGACTGGCAGGGCTTCGTCCAAGGGTAACACTGGGCCCTCGGGGCCCTGTTCTGATCTGGGCCACAGCTCAGCTGGCACCGGAAGAGCCCAGCTCAGCTGGCACTCAACACACAACGATCAAGTGTCAGTTAACTAAATTAGAGTCCATAATTTATATGATGTCAGTTAGCTCATATATCAGTCAATTTAAGATAGAGCCCATAACTTGTGTGTTGGCACAATCAAGTATCAGCCAACTTTAGTTAGAATCCATTGCTTGTATGTTAGAGTCCATAATTTGTATGATGTCAGTTAGCTCAAGTGTCAGTCCATTTAAGGTAGAGTCCATAATTCGTATTTTGGCGCAATCAAGTATCAGCCATAAGGTTAAGTTAGGTTAAGATAGAATCCATTGCTGGTATGTTAGAGTTCATAATTTGTCTGTTAGCACTAAGGTCCATACGATTAGACACCTTGGCTGTCCTGATAATGGTTTGTGAAATTTTTAAGATGAGCCGCACTCTTACTTCCTCAGTTCAGGTGGTTCCTGTGATCACTTATTTCCAGTGCTGAGAATACACAATACACAGAAAATATAACTAAGTACTCACTGCAGTGAGTGACAGAGAGCGCATTTTCTCGTCGACGAAAACGTGAAGTCACGGACAGACGGACAGACAGATGGACCTGACGAGCACAATAGCGCCTTTTTTCCATAAATGAGAAAATGCGCTAATAATATTGCACTTTCCTGTTGAATAAATTGCACAACCTTCTATGATTGTTTTAGCTAAAATTTTTATCTCATGCCACTCTGGTCGCATTGTCACAATCCTGCGCGTAAACAAACTGCAAATTTCCCAACGGAACTTTTTTGTCTCTGTTTTATCAAATGGGAATTTCACCAACAGTTAATATAATGAGATGAAAGAAGTTATTCAGAGGCATTCTCTCGAAATAGGCCATGCGACCTTATCTCTTCTCTGACAAATTAAAAATAATAGGAGATGAAGTTTGTTCTTCATTTTTGAAAATCAAGTTCCATGGTCTACTTTAGTGAAAAAATTCAAATTTTTGTGTGCCCTTTCGTCCAAAAAATCTGCCACTCCTATTTTTTCTCACAAAATGCAGTCTAAAAGTTTGTAGTGGATTGAAATGCTCGAGCAAATTGATTGAAAAAATTCTATTCACTATACAATGGAGCAAAATAAACGTTAAAGGATTTCATCAGCGTATTTTAGTTCCGTACGTCAGAGGTAAACGAAAGTGTGAAGGAATATGTTTTTGGTATGAAATAATTAATTTTATGTTTCCGCGACCCGTTATCTCTCAATTGTCGGCTTCGACACTGACCTCGGAGCTCAGTCCTGAAAACACCAGAGACTAAACGAATCAAATATTTATATCATTATTTTACTTAAATTTATTTTAAGTAAACCTTAATTAAAGAACCTATATTAAAGAATTAAAACGTCAAGTAGAAGATGAATTGATGAATACTAAATATCCCAGGCGTTCTTGTTGTCTTTAAATTCTGTACGAATGTTTCAAATTTAAAAAAAGGCAAAGCTGTAAAGAACGCTGTTGGCAAAGTAGAGGTGAGAAAAATAGCGAAATCAAATATTATAACTTGATGTGCCTCTTAAGTTTCATTCATTTTACGATACAATCTTCATAAAATGTCAGCAGTTATTGACTAAGGTCGCAGCGAGTTTTTGAACCCTCTGGCGAAAGCCTTGAAAATTTACGAGTTTTTACTTTCTTCCGACATGAAATTTTGAAATTAATTTAGTGATAACTGATCATTTGCTGTCTCGCCGCCCTCTTCTATAAGTCTGACATACGAGTAGTATAGAAAAAACTAAATTCAGTGAATAGTTCGCAAAAAGTTTGTGAAATCTTCTTGGGTCGGTAATTTTTACGAAAAAAAACAGCATTCAGGTTCATTGGCGCAAGAAGCCGCCATCAACGGTGAGATCTAGTCTGATCTCCATGGGCTCATATCTCATCGTATTCAAACGATACAATATCCCCTTGTATGGGGGTAATTCGATGAAGAATGACGCAGTCTACATTTGTTTTATAGTTCAGTTGCTTCAAAGCAAGAGAAAAAACTTTAATAATGTGACATTTTCAGTGGTCGTCCTTAACATGTTTATTTCGTTATCTTGTATAATTTACACCACTTGAATTAAATATCAATATACGGAGAGCTAACTTGTTAGTTAAATTGTTTAAAAAAATTTGTATGGATAAATTACAATAACTTATAATTACATTTACTATTATGTATCACAGATAAATCCACATTATAAACGCAATCATTCACATGATTGCCAATTACAACCCGCACTTTAGCCTATAGCCATCATGAAAAATATTAATTTAAATGATTTTACATACATAGTTATCTTCTAATTCTAGTCGTATATACATTATAATAAGTCCGAATATTGTGGAAAGTTGTTGAAAATTGTATAAAATGCAACCATAAAGAAACATTTTATTCATGTTAGATTTCGTTGTTTTACTTTGCTCACTTTTTAAAAATTTGTAGAATTTTAGCTCACTTTTGATTTTTACGATACATTTTTCTATGACTTCCCAGTAAGTGTCTTTTTCATTAAGAACCAGCAACAAATCGAACGTCTGCATTTCCATGGAATCACGTACAATTACGCAATAAATGTCAGTACCTAATACAATCATTTTAGGAACTGACATTTATTATCAATCAAGTGACTGAAATTATAATTTATTA